ACTAGATACAGCTGAGGAAACAGAAGAAGCAGGTGAGTGAGTGATCTGGAAAAATTACCTCTTCATTCTGCAGTATTTTTGAATATGACCTGGAACGGCCACATTTATAACACTTGAGGCCTTTAATCTGCTTAAATTTGGGTTCAAAGTGAGTACTTTAAACTTCTATAGTCTTATTGGAATTTTCCCTATCTATCTCTCTTTAAATTAAGATGCGTTTCCTCTGCTAGTAAATTTCAAGTTCAACATTCTTAAAAATGAACTTTTCATCTGGCCACCTCAAAATATTCTGAACTACTTGATCAAATTTATCTGGAAGGAACCTAAGAAACTGGAAACATATATATGAGTCTCTTACAGCCTGATTAATATCAGCTAACTGTTTAGTTACTCGTTTTAATCTAGAAGAAAAGAAACTAATACTTTCATTTGGCTCAATTTTGCAATTTAAGAACTCTGAAAACAGGGACATATGTCTTGACCTATAATCTGGCTGGAAATATTTGGCAAGCGTATTCCATGCCACTACTGGGTCATCAATTTCACATATCAAGTTTCTATATTCAGGACTTACATTCATATAAATTAACGATAATGCCAATCGACTTCTATTTTGAAAGTCGGCAATAATTTCTTTTGCAATACCCTTAACATCATCTAAATCAGGACTTTTCTCAACACCTTTGACCAAAAGCCATGCATTTTTTTCATTCAAGACAAATTTCATATCTTTGGACCATGTAAAATAATTACATGCATCAAGTTTAGCAATATTATGCATGACACTAACAGTAGCCATATTTGAATTTTAACAAAAATCGCCCCCCAATCTCTTAAGTCCTGAATTAACTTTAAACTTCAAAAGTCTGCACTAAAAATAACTCAGGAGCTACTGTGCCCATAACCAAAATGATGCTAAAGCAAAGTTTAAAGTTTAAAGAAATTAAATATTTAGCAGTGGTAGCAATGATAGCTCTCTGAGTTATGTTGTGCAGACATTGAAGACAAGTAAAAGATTTTGAACTTAACCAATTTATTAACAATATAATAAAAAAAATAAAAACACATAAAATAAATTTCAACAATATTAGAGTATTAGGCAAAACATAACATAATCATCATTCATCAAATATTTTTACCTGTACTCCAAAACACTGGCATTCTATACAAACAAATTTCATAAAAAAAAATGAAAAAGTCCTAAATAGTGACTATGCCGCCTAAAAATAAAGCAGGCTACCCATTCCATAAGTCCATAATCAATGGTCAAGAAAACACCTGAAAAATTTAAATGTGAAACCACTTAAAACCGGCCTAACGCCGTTTGCACTTAATTCCACCCTCCTTGAAGAAACATGGACGCTGCCTACGGCAGTCACTCACAGGACAGCCCCCGGAACTGAAGAACTTCAATCTGGAACCATCATCTTGTGAACCGGAATCAAGGCATCCTTTCACCGGACTGCAGGCATCCTTTGGAAGGGGCTGGAAACCGCTCACACACCAGCCGGTAAACCAGGAACTAGAAGGCAGGTTGAGCCAGAGCGATGCGAGATACTTATAGCAGAAGTAGGAATGACGTCATCTCACGGCAACCAATCAGCTATCGGCACGAATCGGCTTTTCAGATGACGTAACATTGTTTCGTTTTTGCATCTCAATTAGGTTGAAACAGTCCGTTTTCAATGCAAACAGTGGCAGCAAGAAAAGAAGTAGAAGTAACTACTATGTTATATTAAAATAAGGACTAAACTAAATAAACATTTCAAGGAGGAGAGATGATGCAGTAAAAGGTTTAAAAATAAGCTATATTTTCCAACACAACTTACAGAGTTTGAACGAGGGAGAATCATCGGCCTTCGTGAAGCTGGATTGTCGTATCGTGCAGTAGCCTCTCGTGTGCAGCGTAACAGCAGCACAGTGATGCGCGTGTGGAAGCAGTGGACGGACGAGTTTCGGACAACTCGGAAATCCGGGAGTGGACCCCGAAATGTGACGTCAGCTCGCGATTATAGACACCTGGGCGCATGGCGCGGACGGACCGTACAGCTTCCTCTAGACAATTGGCAGCACTGTGGTCAATAGCTACAGGTGTTTCATTGTGTGCTTCATCAATTCGTAGACGTCTGCTGCAGTGTGGACTGCGCGCACGGACTCCTTTATACAGGATCCCCCTAACGCACGACCATCGCCGCCTGCGGCTACAATGGGCCAATCAGCATAGAGACTGGCGTGCTGATTGGCAGCATGTTGTGTTTTCTGACGAATCCCGCTTTAATTTGTGGTACCATGATGGCCGCATTCGTGTCAGACGCTATGCCGGTGAACGCCACCTTCCGGAGTGCATTATCGAACGCCACACTGGACGAACACCCGGAGTTATGGTCTGGGGCGCCATAGCATATCATAGACGATCTCAATTGCTACGAATTGTGGGCAATCTGAACAGCAACCGTATATCCATGAAGTTCTACAGCCCGAAGCTGTTCCCTTCCTTCAAAGCTTGCCAGGCGCTGTATTTCAACAGGACAATGCCCGCCCTCATACTGCTCGGATTGTTAAATCATTCTTTGCAGCGCAGCAGGTACAGCTTCTTCCTTGGCCTGCGTGTTCCCCGGATATGTTGCCAATTGAACATGTGTGGGATGTCATTGTCGGCGTCTTGCTCGTGATCCTCGTCCTGTTGCGTCTGCAGACGAACTTTGGGTACGCGTACAAACGATATGGAATGCTCTTCCTCAGTCAGACATTCAAACTTTGTTTGACTCCATGCCACGTCGTGTAGCAGCACTTATTGCGGCGCGTGGTGGCCACACAAATACTGATTTTTGATCTCTTGTTCTTGTTTGTTTGGTTTGAACATTTAATCATTTATTTGTACCACTACCACTCAACTGTGTATTAAATTGCATTCAATTATGACGATTCCTTCTTGGTGTTGCAATTTTCACAAACGTGAGTGTATATACGGACATGTATATGTACACACACAGGCACACATATGCATTTATATATATGTGTTTGTGTGCATGGATTTATGCATACGTGTATAAACATACAGATATACGAGGGCTATCCAGAAAGTAGATTACGTTTTGGAATAAAAAAATGAACAAAGTATAGGAAACAAATTTTATTATATACAGATGAAAGCCACACTCAAATACTACTTTTCTACATAGTCACCATACAAATTAAGGCATTTATCGTAGCGATGTACGAGCTTGGAAATTCCTTCGTCGAAAAATTCGGCCGCCTGCGCCTTCAACCACTTCGTTACCTCTTCTTGCAGCTGTGCGTCGTCATCAAAACGCTGCATAGCCAGCCACTTCTTCATTGCTGGGAATAGGTGGAAGTCGCTCGGTGCCAGGTCGGGACTGTACGGCGGATGAGGAAACAACTCCCACTTAAAAGATTCAAGAACTTTACGAGTGACATTTGCCGTGTGGGGCCGGGCGTTGTCGTGAATCAACAAGATCTTAGAGCTCAACATTCCTCTGCGCTTGTTTTGAATTGCTCTTCTGAGTTTTTGGAGAGTTTGGCAATACCTTTGAGAGTTTATTGTAGTGCCTCTTTCCAGGAAGTCCACCAAAATTACACCTTTTCTGTCCCAAAAAACAGTCGCCATCATCTTCCTTGCCGACATTGTTTGCATGCATTTCTTGGGTTTTTGGGGAGAACTTGTGTGCCCCCACTGCATTGATTGCAATTTCGTTTCACAGTTCACATGTTTCACCCATGTTTCGTCACCAGTAACGATGCGATCGAGTAAAGAGTCACCATCCTTATGGTAAGCGTCCAAAAAGTTCAACGCTGCAGCCATTCGCTGATTTTTGTGGTCCTCTGTCAAGATTTTTGGAATCCATCTTGCACAAAACTTGTGGTAACCAAGCTTTTCGCTGATGATTTCGTGCAACAAACTTCGCGAAATTTGTGGAAAACTCAAAGAAAGTTCCGTTATTGTGAAATTTCGATTTTCACGGACTTTAGCATCGACTTTTTCGAGAAGTTCGGCGGTCACTATGCTGGGTCTCCCACTTCGATCTTCGTCGTGAACATTGGTTCGGCCATTTTGAAATCTTATGACCCACTGACGCACTCCACCTTCAGTGATAATGTTGTCCCCATACACTTCACGAAGCTGCCGATAGATTTCTATCGGTTTACAGTTTTTTGCAGTCAGAAACCTTATTACTGAGCGCACCTCGCAGCTCGCGGGATTTTCAATTAACGCAGACATTTCAAACCGTCACAGTATCTGAACGGAGCACAGCACGAACCTCTCACTAGCACGGCTAGATGCAGACTGAGCTGCGCAACGCTCTGACCCCAAGATGGCCGCGCTAGCCCCGCCCCTAGCGGACACAGACGGAAACGTAATCTACTTCCTGGATGGCCCTCGTATGTATGTGTATATATTTTATCATCAAGCTCTTGAAGAAGTTTTCGTAATTCTTCTTCAGTCAGACCTCTTTTCCTTTTCGGCATACTGCTAGAAAAATGTTAAAATAATTCCTAAAAAACTTATGAAAATATGCAATATTCTAAAGCAATGCAAGGCTCTGTTTACAATTTACAAACACAGTTATCGCGAATTCTGTAGCTATGTAGCTACAAGAGCTAAAAGGGAAAAATTGGGAAAAACCAGATTCTTAACACCAAGACCTTTGAAAGAGATAAGTGATTGAAACCCCCGGAATGTTTCACCCCACTCTTTTAGCCTGGAAAATGGGGGGAAAAGACATGGGCCACTAAAGTGAACAACCCCATCTTTTCAAACAGAGGACTCTATGGCCACTATAATGGCCATCCCGTCTCCAAAAGGTTAAGTGAGTGACTTCTTTCAATAAACTTCCATTTCTTATTCTAATACTTTGTCAGTAATTGTTTATATTATATTTCCATTGTATATCTTCTACATAATGTGACTACACTATACATTATACTCATTACTAGAATGTATAGTGTAACGAGTATGTGTAGCAGTGTGTTAACAAGCAATGCAACCAGGAGAATGTTTAATTCCACATGCAGAAAAATCTGATACTTTACCCTTGTATGGCCATATACTTTGCCCTTGTATTGAATTCAGAAAGCAGCTCCAGATAGTTGAGAGGGATCTGGAAGATACCCAATCAGTCAATGCAAGCCGCCTGGGTATTCGGACCTGTTCTCACCTATCACCTGTATATCTTCTGTGTCACTCAGCCATGATTAGTGATGCTGACTGCCATATCAATGGACCTGGGCTCAAACCCCAGAGAAGGCATGGCTTCTTGTAAGCATATAGTGTCTGTATGGCAAGGAGCACTCAAAATGCAAGGTGAGCTGGAAGTCCTTTTAAGCAGTTGGTAGTTGGAGAAGAGGGTTGGGAGATCGTTGGACCACTCCTGTCATACCATCCCTCAAAATTGGTTGGTATCATTGGCTTTGTATTTGTGGATGCTGGCTAATATCCAAATATAAAAAATAAATATCTTCTTAATGTATGTTTTTTGAAGTATACTTTTCTTTCAAAAATCATACATTAATCATAAATTCTTCAAAAATCATGCATCGCTATTACAATATTTTATATTATAGTACTGTCTTAAAATTAAGTTTAAATAATATATCTAGCTCATTGATGGCTAAATTGGTAAAGTCGTTGAATGTACTGTATTCCCCCCTTTTTTTCAGATGATTCTGTTGAATTTGAAAATATAATAGATTGTGTACTATTTTTATATGATTTTTTAATGCTGTTTCATTTATATATTTATAGATTTTTGTTTGTACATTTTCCATTATTTGCTAACAGCTAATAATATGTTATCATTTTAATTGTCAATTATTGAGATATGCATATACATATGTAATTTTTTTTTCAGGGTGAAAATATGCCACTCTCTCAATCTTTAATTAGTGCTCTTTGTGTAAGTTATTTTCATATTCTGTTGGAATACATGAAATGTGCATTTGCATGGAAGATTTGCTTTTATAATTGGGAATATTGTTTTGGCTATTACTGAGGATTTTTTGTAAGAAGACTTATTTGTCATTGTTTTCTGATAATTAAATCTAAAATCTAGTTATTAGTTCATATTTCAATAATTTTGGATTGTTAAATATATGCATGATTTAACCATTAAAGGAGACAAATTTCAGATGATGATCAGTTAAAAACATTAGACTCAGATGTTTAAAAAAAAAAACGAAAAAAGAAAAGAAAGATGGGGGATAAGAGAAATCACTTAAAATAGTGTTGTGTAGCAAATTCACTTAATTATTTAATTTATGACTTATTAAAAATTGATTTATTAATATTCTAAATTATGCTACACGACGTATATTTTATTTAATGTCTGTGCTAATTTGTTTAATTTTAATTGGGGTTTTTTGGTACTTAAGATTTGTACGTTCTTTCCACTCATTACTCTGTGAACGTGCTGAAACACACAATGGAATCAGGTGTTTTTCTACGTAATAATCTTGATTTTCTATTACTTAAGTTTACTCATTCTTAACTTATACCACTAGAAGCAGAAAAATTTGCTCTTCAATTTAAGATCACTTTCAAGAATCTAGCCTTAACAAATTTTAAGATACAGTAAATGATTTAACTGAAATTTCCATTTTTTCATTGTGTTGAAAATGTGGGGAGGAGGAATGGGAAAAACACAGCTTTTTAGCAAGTTTTCTATCTCTCTTGACTACACTGATAAAGGATTTCCGGTGGGGTGAGTTAGGTTGCCTGCTCAGCCTTCGCAGCTGTTTCAGATTTGGTGATCGTTGGGCAATGCTTAAATTTGTATTTATTATTTATTTTGCATTGAAAAAAGGACAGATCATAAGGCAGTGATTTGAAAAGAACTATTTTTTTTTTCACAATTTCACAATACAAAATTCATCGGTCGTCTTCCTACAGAGTTCGTCTTCACTTTCGACGTTTTGCCACACAAGATCTGGTTTTATTCCTGGATTCAACCTGAAGGGAAGATAAGTCTATTTTTTTATTATTCTGTTTAGTCTTAATCCATTCGGACAATAGCCACACTTTCAGCCTTAATTGATTGCGAAATTTAATTTTTGGTTCCTTATTAAGTTAGGAGAAAGTTTAGGTTGCTTAGTTAATTTGATCAATTTAAGAGTGTAGTTGTTCTACTCAGTACCTATGGAGATTTTCTTTGCAATGAAATGATATTAAGAAAATTTTAAGTTAACTAAAAGAAAATAAAATCTTGTTAATGTTCTTAAAACTAGTTCATGTTTCGAGACTGAGAATTTATATTCCCTTACCTAAGTAAAAATTCACTGGAAGAAATAAATTAGGGCAATAGTTGTAAATTAACAAACTACTGTTTGTATGAATTGAGTGTAAGTGATCCTTCTAAGGATTTTGTTAATGTTGTGTTTTTGTTTTATTTTTTTAAATGTGCAATACGTTGGATAAATATTTTGTTCTGCAAAACCTTTTTATAAATACCCTTCATGAAGTTAATTTGATTAAGTAGCGTAATAGCTAGTTCAAAAAAAAATATTAAACTAAATATTGCTTTAAGGGGCAATCAATTTATATATATATATATGTGTGTGTGTGTGTGTGTTTTATTATTTATTTATCCTGGGATGAATTTTTTTTATGTAGAATATTTTAAATATTTTTAAAAGTTTTAGATGAACTCGAATTGATAAATAAATGTCATGCATTTCTTGGGATAACAATTGTATGTTTTATTTTCTATGTATTACTACACATGACATTCCCCAGTTTTTATTGGTACTAAGGGTTGTTCTAATTAATCACAATGCAATTCATATTTTAGGTAGTCTTGAGGAAAATTTAATTTTGTGGGTGGTCTCTTCTTAAAAGCCTCTTAACAATAGCTACCACTTTCTTTTCATTTCCCTCCCTGTACTTTTAGTTTTTAAAAAAATAAACTTTTTTTTTAAATGCTTGTTTATTTGTTTGTTTTTTATAACTTGTCTACATTTTATTTGAAAAGGTAAGTTATGAAATAACCTTAAGCATGTTTTTAATTTAATGAGGTTTAATTATAGCCAAAATAAAATAATAAGTAATTCTTTTTAAGCTGTTTAGTTCTTATTTTTATAATTATGTCAATAATTCTTCATATTTTGGGTTTTAGGATCTCTTGTTTTGTCCAGACTTTACTGTTTCTGCAGGAAAAAGATCAGGACCTGTACGTATTTTCTGTCTTAGTTTTTATACATGTTTATGTTTATCTTAAATGTTTTAGGTCATTTTTTTAATTTTGAAATATCAATGAGTTTAAAATGCAGTACTCTATTATTGGATTAATTATATTTAACTTTTACATTTTAGGATAATCCAGAAGATTTACAATCTATAGATAGCTGTGAATATATATGGGAGGCTGGAGTTGGTTTCGCACATTCTCCTAGTCATGTTCCACAACATGATTATAATAGAACTGAAATTTTGAAACTTCTTCTGGCATGCTTTAGTCAAACTATGTATATGCCTGCAGCTGGTAAACATTTTTTATTTGGGCTTTAAAAAACATTTTTCATATAATTAGGAATTTGATGGATATTGAGTTTTCTTGCATCTATAAACTATTCTTACAATAAGAAATTATTTACTATTAAAAAAATCCACCAAAATTTGGTAAATGCATAATAGAAAAATATCATTAAATGTTTTTAATGTAAAGTTAAATTTGAAATTTGGGCTTACTCGTGAACAATTTTAAGAATATGGCATTCAAAAATATTGCAAATATATTTACTATAAAGATACTAATGAAATTTATTAAATGAAGTACATAATTAAAACTCAAAATCATAAGCAAGTGTAGAGGGGAGGGTGTTTCAAAAGTTAAAATACATAAACTGTAAACTCTATTGAGAAACTTAAAATTAAATTTAGTTTGATTAATAATTAATTCTTAATTTGAAAAATTTGAGTATTTTCTTATAAAATTTATATATATATATACTGTCCAAAGTCCAAAATTTGGACATCTAATATCAAGAATGATCTAAAATCCTGATTTTCAGTCTTCCAGCGGCTTTCATTTTTAGAAGTTTGTGTGTGTGTGTATTCTTTGCATATTATGTGCATTTGATATTTTCATGATAAAACATGTCGAGAGGTCCAATTCTTAATTTCGCTTTGGCACTAAATAAAATACCACCACATTGAAGAAACATGTATTAGCATAAATCTACATGAGCAATAATTTGGCTGTTTAATTGCCCTTTTTTTCTTGCCATACATTTGAACTGAAACGTTCTGCATCCAAACGTAGATTTTACACAAACTGAATAATTTGTATCTCTGATGGCAACCTAGTAAATACTTGTTTATTATTTTTTGCTTTTGTCACTACATAACTATCAACACACAGCAACTTAAGAAATAACTCAAGCAACAATGTCTAAACAATTTTTTCAATAGTAACTTTATACCAAAAAACTCGCTAAACTTTTATGTTGACATTACACTTGGCAATGATTACAGGCTTCAGGTAACTTCCCTTCAAATTGTTAAATGTGTGACAAGGAGACATTTAACAGGAATTTCTCTCCATATGCAAAAAGTAGATTTTTTTTAAATGATATTCACAGCCCAAAAGATTATATTTAATGCTGTTTGAATTGAGATAAACTGATTTGGTATTCAGATAAGCCCAGGACCAGCACCATAGCTGGCACGTCAGAATTTAGGGATGCAGATTTTTTTTTTATTTAGAGAAGTATCAAGCAACAAAATTAAAGAGACGACAAAATCTTTAAAATTTAGAGAGGTCACTGAAATGCAAAATTTAGACCCACAGAGACTGCAGTGAGCTGCAAAATGTCTAATACTGGCTCTAGATAATCAATAAGTATATATGAGAATTTATTTATATGGAATAGAGATAGACCTTACAACAACAACAACAGAAAAAAAAAAAAAAAAAATTATGGTAACTTGGCGATTTTTTGGCGAAAATTTGGCAACCAACTCTCCTACAGCAACCCTCTATTTTTTTTTCCCCGCCGCCATTTTGTCTTCACGAAGTAAAGACATGTTTCTTTTCTTTTTATCTACTGAACACTTCTTCCAACAATCTAGTAGCCGAATTACACTTATGCTAGAAATTTTATCAAACAAAACTACTTAATCATGACAAATATTCACTGCAAAATTGGGAAAAAGTGCACAATACCACACTCCTTACGCGTTTTTTCAAAATAAACACATACACATAAACCATGTACACGCCGACTTATTTTTACTTAAAAAAACATCCCAGAATTGCACAAAAATGGCATTGCGCACACTCTTCACTATATCCATGTACACTGCTTTTTTCTCATAAATTAGAAAAATTTCACGAAAATACCTGACAATTTTCTCAATCTTTAAACCCGGTAAAAAGAACATATATGAATTACCTGATCGCGAAAAAGTATTTACCTTTCCAAATATGAACATTTCCACATATAAAATAAATAAAATATCCAAAACGTTTACCTCTAAATCATCTATTATATTATAAATGTCACCAACGAATTCATACCGCAACCATTACAAATACTTAGTGTCAGATATTTAAATTATTTCCATGCACATTACTTCAACTAAAACGTATACCAAATTCCTACAAACATAAAATTCACAAAATAACTTCAATTCATTAAAATATAATTAAATTCAAAAACACTACTTAAAATATAAATGAGCACATACATTAAATTAATAAAATTACCTTACAATCCTAATTACTTTTAAACTAAATCATTGCTAATAACAATTTTCCCAATAATACCAAATTCCTTTCCACCTTACATTTAGAACAATGCATAAAAATAATATCCTCAAATAATTAAAAATACTAACTTACCTAATCTTCTTCAGAATCTTGATTACGTGGCGGATACACTTTTCTAATTGATTCAATAAAATTATTGAAAGATTTTTTCTGCGAATTTTTCCTCCATACTTCCTCCACTAAATAAAAAGCAAACTTCTCTTTATCACAATGCCTAAATACCCATTTTGAATACACTTTAGTTAGGGCCATGGGATCCAAAATTAAACAACATTGTTTCACACAACACAGAGTAAAGCTAAATACAAAATTTCCACATTTTTCCCGATTTCCCCCCTTTTCCGATTAAAGAACCGTAATTCGTCCATTAATATCACATGACATATCCTATGATCTCTCATTTCCCTCGCACAAAATAACGCATAATCGGAACTGAGTACTGCTCACATTTTTACCAAAGTCCCAGGTAGTAACCTTTATCGCCTCCAAAATGTCGCCAAACTACCAGTTACCATATTGTAAAGATCAACCAAAAAAAGAAAAGAAAAATTTTCCAATTAATTAAATTTGTGAAAAAATGTGAAATGTGGAGAAGTGATAATAGACACAGATGATATAATAGAAGTTTATCATTGTGATGACAGTGCCCCGATAATCATTCAGCTAATGGATGGCGAAATCTGTAGAATGATTTGAAATCCAGAAAATATCTCTATCAATACTGAAAAAAACGACTAATGTTTTTGAGAATGAAAAATTTTGGTGGATTATGTAGTGGGAATTATTGACATGGCAGTTGCAGGGCTTGAACATAGGAAATTTATAACTGAACAAGAAATTATTTCTATCTTTAGAATTAAAGAGAAAGTATTAACACACACACACACACCAAAAAAAAAAAAAAAAAAGCAACTTCACAACGTCCATTGAAAGAAATGTTTAACACAAACAAATGAATACTGATGATCTTTCTTTTTTTTTTTTTTTTTTTTTTTTTTTTGGTAAATTTGATTTCTCTTAAAGTCATAAATGCTTCATACTTATACAAACCACTGTCTCATATTTTTAGTTTTATAATTTCTACGTGTCATCTTACTAGATTTAAAGTGATGAATGAATATCTGGAAAATCTCAAGTCTAGAATCACTGGAATCCTAATGAGTCCATATCTTCGACTTTATACTGTATACATGTTTCAACAGTATTTCAGTACTGAACTTTACAAATTTATCTCTTAGAGACTTTCAAACTGAACTTTAATTCCATTTCTAAATTGTATAATGTTTTTGTTATTATATTTGTAAATTATATATATATGTTACTGTGAAAGACCAAAATTGGAGAATGTCGACGTTCACCTGTGAATGTCAACACATACCAAATACATCGGTGAAAGACCGAATATTTTGTTAAATTCTTGTACATTCGGACCATCACCGGTGTATGTCGACACTCACAGATATGCTGTGGTGGAGGTCAAAAAGAGAAGTCGAGTTCAACAAAGGGGCGAATGTCTGTCACCAAATCCTTTTCTCTGCTGCGATTGAAGTTATATAGCATGTATTTGTTATACTCTGGAACACTGTTTGTCAGTCTTATGCTAGGTTTGATGGTACATGCAACGTTTTCTTAAATTTTTTTTTTAATCCAATACCCTAATTTATGTTGAATGGATACTGCAGTGAATATGAATTTTTCCTTGAAAAGTTAAATGCATTAATTGTGAGTAAAACGAGAAGACAATTGTTTTTATTTTTCATGCACATCTCTCCTCACCGGGATTGATTACTTCTTATGAAGCTATGTTTCACATTAAACCAAGAAGAGGCATAGCATCGTCTTTTTTGCCTGGCGAACAAATCGCAAATATTGAAACCAAAGAACAACTCTTAAGAAATTGCTAATACTTTTGAAACCAAAGAACAGCTTGAAGAAACTGTTAAAACTTTTGAAGAAAATTTGAGCAGTGGCCATACTGAAAACCATATTCCGAAGAAAAATATTGAGGAGGACCTGCAACCTACCATGTCTTCATATCAAGCTCGGACTGAACAACACGAGTTAATTTCTAAAAAAAAATTGGCTGCAAAAGAGAATTTTTTACTGCAAACAAAGAAAATGTTACGAACGTCAAAAAAAAAAAAATTCTCCTGCTCAGATTATTGATACTGTACGAATACAAGTCCCTGATGTCGACTGTGATTATACAGATGGTCAAAATGTGTTGGCAGTTGTTATTGGAATAAGACTCTGGCTTTTGTAAACTAGCAAATAAAAATGACACCTTCAAGCAGCTTTATACCTGTAATCAGTTCGCAATTTGTAAAGAAAAGTTACTTTCCATAGATGAGACTTCTTCTCAAGTAATGTCTCTGAGAGAATCAGTTGCAGCTAATTCGAGAAGTAGAGGGCATGGCTATACACGCTGTCACTGCAAAAGGAAGTGTTCCACAACTAAATGCAGTTGTAAAAGCAAGGGACTCTTGTGCAATTCAAAATGTTATAAAAGTTCATGTTGCTGCAATAAATAAGATTCCAATCACATAATTAAGTTCTTTTTTGTATTCTTATCTTTTCTCATTTAAAATGTATTGTTTGAGTTCAAAAGTTTATTTACATGTGTTATTACTTAAGCTTTTTCATATTTTGATGTATACGGTATAAATGCAAAAGTAAAAAAAAAAAACGTTCTTTATTGACTAAATTTAAAACTAAATGCTTAACATTTATACAATCACAACTGCTGTCATTATTAAGAAGTCAAGTAATATCGAGTAGCGCTTCTCGCATTAGAATCAAAAGCTACATGTCACGCAGTGAAAATGCCTTTTTAGAGTTACGAACAACTCTTCTCACCAGGGATTGGTTACTCCTCTCAGCAAGACAGGCGAAAATGTTACGTCACCCTTAAAGTTTTATGGCACCTGAAATACGGAGAACAAAATGCAAATCTCCGACGTATTCAACATTCACCATTAGTGCATGGTGAATGTTGAACTTTGCCAGTGTAAGTCAGAAATAAGGATATTTGCAAATATTTTGGACATGCACCAAGCGACTATGTGAATGTTGACATTCACCGGTGAATGTCGACATTCTCCAAATCTCGGTCTTTCACAGTAACATATACATATGTTGTTCTGTATTCAATTTTGAGAAAGTTCATGAAACAAATGACAGGGCATAATGAAACCTAAGTGTTATGTCCTTGAAGCACTTAATTTGCTTTCTCTTTACAATGGTGTGTAAAGGGTCATTATTGTAAATATTCTTCAACATTTCTCTTCCTTTGCTAACACTAATGCTTTCTCTCAAAAGGTTTTTCTTTCACCAAGCCTTTTTCTCTTTGAAGGGTGGGAATATGTAGCATATGAAATATGAAACAAAGTATTAAATTTATGGAACCAATAGACAAGAGACCTTGAAATTCATAAATTTTAATTAAATCCACCTCAAAGATGTGCTTTTCACGATTTTGCATCAGTCTGCAACATGTTATGTCACTCTTTTCTTGAAATTTCTTTGCACTTAGAAATCTTCAGCCTAGTTGTTGCTCAGGATTAACACAAAGACTTTCTGGCTATAAACATGACTGATGTTTAGTACGTATTACTTTCTCTCGCCTGCTGCTGATTGAGCAAACCACATCTTTCACTTTGCCTTCTTTCATTATTGTCCAAAATATAAACTCATGTATTAAAGTTTTAGGGCATGTTTAGCATCCCTAATGTGGTAGCAGTTTGAGTAAAAATGTACTTCTGAATAATTGTTCCTGTTCAAAATTAAATTGATGTTTTAATCATGAAGCCAGTTGTGATTTTCACACAAGTCATCATCTACATAATAGTCTTCTTGGCCATGACTGGTTTCATCATGCAGAAAAATTAGATCATCACATATGATATATATTATATGCATAAGAGCTTTATGAGCACTTTTATTGAATATTCATAAAACTTTCTCTTTTTTTTTTAATGTTTTGCAAAATTTTGAGATGTTAAAAAATTTAATTGAGTTTTTAAATCTTAAATTTTTTCCAAGCTATACAATATTTCTTTCTTATAATAGTTAAATTATGTGGATTATTTATGATAATGTAATAGTTATTTTAAATGCATATCCATTTTTTTTCCAGATGTCCACATGAATCCAAACAAATGGATACAATATTTTACTTCCGCTGATAACAGGTAATTCTTTTTTAATGCTTTCTTTAATTCTACTTTGTCATCAGTTGTATGTAAATACAAAAATGTACATTTAATAAATGATGTGTTACTGACAGCCTTTCTGCATCTTCATGAAATGTAGTACTTGGAATTACCTCTTTGCATTTTCTCCTCCTTGGGACAACCCAAGGAATTTTTCTTCAATACTTGATAGGCAGATGATCATTGGCTCTTTCTTCCATGCTTGGTTGTGTATTCTTCATTTCTTCTTCCATGCATGGTCGTATAGTCATATGAGCGGCCGAGCGGTAACGTCGCTGAACATTGGTAGTTCAGTCTGAGGTTCGAATCCTGTGAACGGGCTGGCTGCATGGGTGTTTTCGTGGTTTCCCCATGTGTAACGTGTATACGAGCCAGTTTCCCTTAAAAAGTCCTCCACGAAGGCATCCCTCCCTTAAAGGCAGATAGCCCTCGAGTGCTTTGCCGTAATCTAATAAACCAAACCGTATAGTCATATGCAAAATATTTCATTGCAGACAATCTTCTATACATAAATTGTATAATTGGTAGATACTTTGCACTGAATGTATCAGTGAATCATGATTTTCTTTTTTAATTTCAGGCTTGATAAACCTTTTGAAAAACATCTGCTTGTATGTTTTTCGAAACTGTCATTAAAGTTTGAATCTCTGGGCTGCAAAGCCAAATAACTTTCCGTGGAAGCTACTCAGCTAGGATTGTTTAAGTTCAGCAATTTCTATCAGAATTTTACAATTATCCACTGCCAAGAAAATTAATTTTTCTATCTTTGCCCCTCCCCCTGATCCAGCTTTTAAATACTTTTCATAAATTTCGCAAGTCATCCATGCTGGCTAAAAATAGGAGCTTCTTTAAATTTGTTGTACTGATTTTAATATTGGAATTCTTTGTTTAGCTATATTTCCATTACTGCTAATATCAGCTTTCAATAGATTTTTTGTGCGTCATAATTTTGAGAGCAAACCACTTTCATTTGAAACATCTTCCAAGTATACAGAAAACAGTGATTTTCTTTTTTCATCTTTTAACGGTGATAAACATTTTATTCCTTTCAATGGTAATAAACATTTTAGTTTAAGCACTTCATCACAAATTTTACAGGAATTCAATCCAAACTTCACTTGAATTTTTCCAGTTGACCATTCAGTTCTTAGAAATCATTCAAGTGCATTTTGCAGCAAGTATCTACAGTTATTACTTGCTTCATGTAAATGATATGATCCTGACAGCCATTTTGTAGCTTCCTGAAATATAGATTTGGAATGGCATCTGCATATCTTAGTTTGAAGTAATCTTTGCACTTCTGAAGGGAAAAGCCAATTCAGATAATTCTGTCCTGGAGACTTCAATTTCTAATTTTTTAATCAAATGACTGTCACTTCCCTAATATTTGGAAATTGTACTTTGCAGAAATACTTTTAGAAAGGGGCAAATTGCAGCAACTATCTGGCTTTGATAAATGTAATAAAATTATTTGGAAGCCAGTAATTTTTATGATTCCATTTGTAGTCAAGACAGAAACATTCTTATAATTTTTTTCTTGTCATTCACAGATTTATAAATTCTGTTTTTTTTTTTACTTGTCATAATTAGGAAATCAAAGTTTATTGTCTTGTAAAAATTGAATAGCATGCAGATGTTAGAAGATTCTATTGTTACAAATGTTTTTTTTCTGTTGCAACTAACTCCCTTGGTACTTTCTAATTTTTTTTATTATTATTATGAAGCATGTGTTCAATTTTAGTTGCAAGGAAAATTCCTGTCCCTGAGGCATGGAAACCCCCTTTCTTATGAACTGTGAAGACTAATAATGCATTAAAAATTTTTTGCATTCAACCAAAATCGGAGAAATTTCATCTTATTCCATACAAAATTTTACTACAGGAAGGAAGACTGTTAAAACTTGAGTTCATGGAAAAAAAGATATAATTTTAGTTCATAAATCTGAGTAAATATTAATACTTTAGTTCTGTAAGATATGTCTCACAATTTAAACAGTAGTTCATTAAAAAACATCTCATAAATAAGAAGTTTATAAAAACTGAAATCCAGTCTCTGTGAGGTAAATCTGATTATATTAAATATTTTCCTAAAAATGAAATTTCTTATTTCTGTTGTGTGGAAAGAAATTATTTCGACATTTATTTTAACCCTTTAACTATGGTGGTCATCAATAAGCGATTTACCTAGTCTGCCACATATTCCTGCAGTTATCAACAGACATTTTATAGTTTTGGTTTCTAGTTTTTATATTATTATGGCAAAGCCTCGTGTGCCATCTGCCTATTTACAGTTTTAAAGCGGTTGTCAAGTGGCATTTTGTTGTCAATGAGGGATTATAAAACAACAATAATTTATTATTCAGATTTATAAATATCACATTGACCCAAAAATATGTGTGTGTGTGTGTGATTATGGCAAAGCCTTGAGTGCTATCTGCCTAAAGAGAGGGATGCCTTCGTGGAGAACTTTCTAAGGGAAACATGCTCGTACACATGTTACACATGGGGAAAACCACGGAAACACCCATGCAGCCAGCCTGTTCGCGGGACTTGAACCTCGGACTGAACTACCAGTGTTCAGCAACTTTATTGGCTGACCCAAAAATATGCTAATTTATAACATAATAAATAACTAATTATGTAATACTGTAAATACCCCCAAAAATGTAAATTTTGTTCTGCTTTCTGATTTTGTATAATAAATAATACAAAGTAAGTGTTCTATCTGTTTGTATTTTTACATCACCAGCAATATAAAAAATAGAATTTTATCAGATTGTCCAGTGGTTTATGTCTATCGACACCTCGCATAAATGTGGCTGGCCTCTGTCAACCCCCAATAATACATTTTGTAACAGTTCTTTAGGTCAACCATCACAAACATAACCTTGGCTAGCATTCTGCCAAAACACATAGACTTGTCCAAAAGTGGCATTATTACTTGCTGCGTCATAAAAGGTCACGCGAAAGTCTTCTCTTCTCCCGAAAGAGAGAATTTAGATGCTCGAGGAAAAGAAAGTCCATATCCTTCCACCCTATTTTGAGAATAATTCGGTTCAAATGATGCATGCATGTTTGCACTCGTGGATGCAAATGAGGCGGTCAAAGTATAATAAGGTTGCTGTATTGAGATTTGTGTGCATTTTTATACTTTTGAAATAAGTTCAGTTGGTTTATGTTCATTGACACTTCACATAAGGGTGGCTGGGCTATGTAAATCCTCAATAATACATTTTCAAGATTTTTTTATCAGTTCTAATAAGGATGCTGCATTGAAATCTTGTGTGCATTTTTGTTCTTCTGGAGTACTGCGGTCTCATATAACTATCATGAATCAACCCTCAATGTGTATAAAACAAACAGTCTAGATTTGAAGTTGAAGATTGCAACGACAACAATAGCAATGGTACTAGTACTAGTGGAAACTTATTATCCAGCGATTTTGAGAGTGGCAAGGAAAATGTAAGAAATAGTGACATAGACAAAGATGTAATTGAATCTAATAGTGAATCCAGCAATAGTAGTGGCCAGGACAATGTAAGTTTTTATTGGAGAGACAGATGAATTTCAACCGGAAGCATATAATTCTGACAATGTAGGTACGGGAGTGAATGATATGTTTGATATGTCTGATGATGCTGAAGAATAGGATTATTTCACAAAATTATTTTATGTGTCCCTAGTACAAATAAGCGTAAATGAAACCAATAGATATTTTGCATTTTGTACAAGAAACCACAATGATGCAACTAGACCCAAAACAAAACGGTGGGTAAACACAACAATTGACGAGGTTTACTAATTATTAGTATTATGTTTGTTGATACCTCAAGTGAAGAAGTGTACCATATCTGAATATTGATTCAAAAATGTGATGATTCAACCAGATATTTTTAGCAAATATATAACTCATGACAAATACACACAAATTTTGCGATTTTTACATATTGTAGATAAGAACAACCAATCAGAAAACAATAGGCTGTGGAATATTTGAGATGTGCATGAAAATCTAAATGCCAAATTTTCTACTTATTTTTCACCATTTCAAAAAACATGTATTGATGAGTCTCTCATGTTCAAGGGCAGGTTATCATTCAAACAATATATCCCTTAAATATAACATTGATTTGGATTGAAACTGTTTTTGCTATGTGATTGTGAAACCGGAATTATTTTGAAAATTTTGATTTACACTGGTTCCATCAGAGATATTATACCACTTGATGTCGTGAGCGCTATAGTGAAAAAGATCGTAAAAATTTATCAGGGAAAGAAACACCTCCTATATAGTGATAATTGGTACACCAGCCAGCCCGAAGTTGGCAGCCTGTTTCGTTGAAAATGGCATTGATTTACTGGCATTGTCAAGAAAAACCGAAAGCATTTCCCAAAATTTACAGCAGATGTAATCACATAAATAATATTTAGATGAATTTAATATTTAGATGCAATCACATAAAGCTGAATAAAACACGCAAAATTTTGCCTCTAAATTGGAAATATAAAAGGGATGTGCATTTTATTTCCACATTTCACAAAGGAATATTGGTGGATAGTGGAAAAGTGAATCATAAAACACGGAGAATTATGAAGCCAGACTATAGATAAATATGAGACTTATAGATGAGACTGACATGCAGGTATCTTTTGTAGAGATTGTTCGTAAAAGTGGGAAGTGGCATAAAAAGCTTTTTTTACCCTATTAGACATTTCTATTTTGAATTCACATAATATATTTCTGGTAGAAACAGGAAAAAATTCTTGTCATTTAAAGAATTTACTAGAAACATTATGCAACGAATTTTGTCAAAACATGGAACCCTTACTCCAATCTGGTAAACAATACAGAGAATTGCTTGGACGATTAGCCACTAGTAATTTCGTTGAAAGACATTTTTTTTGGACAATGTTCTGCCCACTGTTGGGAGAAGTAAAGGTCAAAGAATATATCATGTTTGTAGTCGCACCTCCAGAGCTGAAAGGAAATGCAAATTTTTGGTAACTTGGTATCTGGAGTGTCAAGTGAGTTTATATGTTGGACAATGTTTTAGAATATACCACAGTCAAAAAACTTTTGATATTAGCCTTTTTTGTCATTTATAGTTTATAAGAACCTTTTATTTAGTCCAAGTTTATATGCAGCGGGATAAGTTTGTAAGTATGTTTATAAGATTATAAGTTTAGGCAAATATCTATAAATTGTTGTTATACTGTTTAGGGATATAATGTTACCCTTTTCTTTTTTATGATGCTTCCAACCTCTCTGAAGCTAAATATAATATGAATAAGGAAATTTTGCAAAAATCTTAATTTTTGCAAATTTTTGCATTTGGCGGCGAGTCTTATATAATTTTACCCATAGTTAAAGGGATAAAATTTTTTCTGAAGCATGATCCCTAGCACTACTGCAATAAGTAATATATTATCATAATTTGAAATACAATTTAAAAATCTTATGTTGTATAGAGTAGCAATGTACGTAATCTGGTAGATGAGGCAATTTGCGAAAATCTGTTATTAAATTAGTTGATAGCAATCTGAAAAATATTATAATGCGGCATAAAAATTTCTGAGAATATACTAGGGATCATGCTTTGGAAAAATGTTAAAATTAATATCGGAATAATTTCTTCCCCGCAAGAGAACTGAGAAATTTCATTTTTAGGAAAATGTTAAATATAATCAAAATTACTTCAGAAGAAGTAGATTTGAGTTTTTATCTGTAAATGATAAGAGAAAATTATAAAAGAACAGAATGTGTCTCGACTAAGTACTGGCTCGAATCATCAAATAGTACTGGCTTCCAAAGCATTTCATTACATTTATAAAAGCCAGATAAAAGACAACTGCTACAATATGCACCATTCCTAAAAGTATTTATGAGAAATAAAATTTCCATATATTAGAGAAGTAATGGTCATTTGTCTATAAAAAATGACAAATTTTCAGAAGTTGGAAGGTTATTTTAAGCTAAGAATGTGAAAAATTCAAATCCACTGTCTGCAAAATTATTCTGATTTTATTTTCCTAAAAAGGAAATGTCTTAGTCTCTTATGGGAAAAAAATTATTCTGACATTTTAATATTTTTGGACCATGATCCTTAGCATAATCTGAACAGTTTTTGTGCCGCATTTTTTCAGATTGTTACCAAATTAATCACAGATTTTGTCAAATTGCCTCATCTACCAGCATCATGCGTGTTGCTATTCCACTAAGCATAAGGTTTTTAAATTGTACTTCAAATTATGATAATATATTACTTATAGCAAACTGGACAATTGTCATAGAACAAACTGTCATTGTAATTTAAAAGCAGGTATAAAATTTATTGATTCATCCCATGTGTAGCAATTCATCTGAAATCTGTTCTTATCAGGCTAGGTAACGAGGATAGTGGTTAGTGACACTGACTGCCATACTGAAGGGCCAAGATTCCAATCCCGGAGAAGGTATCTCTGTTCGTAAATGCGTGTGCAGCACAGCAGCATGGGGGCACTCGAAATATGCCTTGAGGCAAAAGTCCTATCGAGAGGTTGATGGCAGGGAAAGATAGCTGGGAGATCCTCAGACCCATTCCTCCCAGAGCGCTGTCCTTCAAAACTAGAAGCGAAACTGAGCAAAGTGATACTGTGACCTGTAATGGTGCCAAAGGCTTTTGCCAACGACAAGCACAATCTTTCCTCCTTGTCATTCTAAATTTCATGGGTTTGTTCTAATGTCAGACAATCAAAATTAGTCGCAACAACAACACATATGTTCTAATTTGATATGCTAATCAACTTGTATGTTTTTGAAGCATGTTAAGTCTTTAATTTTATTTTTTAATTAAAATAAGCTTAATCTACGTGAAATACTAAAATGCATTTTGATTTATTAATTTTGTTCATAATTTTTGTTTATTTAGACATGCATTACCTCTTTTCACATCGCTGCTAAATGTAGTTTGTGCATATGATCCTGTTGGATATGGAGTTCCATTCAACCATTTACTCTTCACTGATTCTAGAGAACCTCTAGTTGAAGTTGCATTGCAACTTCTTATTGTTTCTCTTGATCACGATTTTAGGGAAACTACATCAGATGACTCTTCTGAAGTAAGTTTCTTTTTAATAACAAGTTAAATGATATTAATTTAGAAGTCAAACAACAAAAATCAGCGTTATATTTTCAAATTTTCACAGGACTAGTTCCGACGGTTTTACCAAACCACTGAGGATGATTGTTCGGTAAAAATGTTAAAATTAGTCCTGTGAAAATTTGAAGATATAACACTGATTTTTGTTGTTTGACTTCTAAATTAATACTTGCTCGGCGTGTTATTGTATCTTAAGTTTAATGATAGTTTAAATTGATTTACTTTTCTTAAAATGGAATTATTTTTATTTGTGCTCAGTTTCCGTTGGAATGATTTAAAGTTCATATCTCTGGTCTAATTACACAATTAATATGTGTACTATGCTAATTAGATAATGACCACTCTTATTTTAATTTAAATATAGTTTATATCTCTGCAGTTATATAATTTAAAATTATAAATATACATTTAACAGTTGAAGGTTAATACTAAGAATTATGAAAGTTATGGGGTCATTAAAGTGAGTTAGATGTACATATTGTCGCAAAAATAAGTGCCTGATGAGTAAAAAATATGGTTGATCTTTACCTTATGGTAACTTGGCGATTTTTTGGCGAAAATTTGGCGACCAACTCTCCTACAGCAACCCTCTATTTTTTTTTCCCGCCGCCATTTTGTCTTCACGAAGTAAAGACGTGTTTCTTTTCTTTTTATCTACTGAACACTTCTTCCAAAAATCTACTAGCTGAATTACACTTATGCTAAAAATTTTATCTAACAAAACTGCTTAATCATGACAAATATTCACTGCAAAATTGGGAAAAAGTGCACAATACCATACTCCTTACGCGTTTTTCAAAATAACACATACACATAAACCATGTACACGTCGACTTATTTTTACTTAAAAAAACATCCCAGAATTACACAAAAATGGCATTGTGCACACTCTTCACTATATCCACGTACACTGCTTTTTTCTAATAAATTAGAAAAATTTCACGAAAATGCATAACAATTTTCTGAATCTTTAAACCCGGTAAAAAGAACATATATGAAATTACCTTATCGCGAAAAAGTATATACCCTTTCCAAATATAAACATTTCCACGTATAAAATAAATAAAATATCTAAAAACTTTTACCTCTGAATTATCTATTATATTTTAAACGTCAACAACGAATTCATACCGCAAACATTACAAATACTTAGTGTCAAATATTTAAATTATTTCCATGCACGTTTACTTCAGCTAAAACATATACCAAATTCCTACAAACATAAAATTCACAAAATAACTATCATTTAATTAAAATATCACTAAACCATGTACACGTCGACTTATTTTTACTTAAAAAAACATCCCAGAATTGCACAAAAATGGCATTGCGCACACTCATTACTATATTCATGTACTTTATATCACTATATCCATGTTACTGCTTTTTTCTCATAAATAAGAAAAATTTCACGAAAATGCATGAAAATACTCAACGTATACTACTCAAATATATTCCAAAATACTACAAACATATAACTCACAAAATCACGATCATTAAATTAAAATATAATTAAATTAAAAACCTACTACTTAAAATATAAATAAGCACATACATTAAATTAATAAAAATTAGATTACAATCCTAATTACTTTAAACTAAATCATTGCTAATAACAATTTTCAAATAATACCATTTTAATTTATTTACTCCTTACATTTAGAACAATGCATAAAAATAATATCCTCAAATGATTAAAAATACTAACTTACCTAATCTTCTTCAGAATCTTCATTACGTCGCTGCAGTACTACTGCTAATTTCTAAATCCTAAATCCAGTAGTCAACTAGAAGTCTATTCACCAAGTAATAAGAAATTAATAAAATTTCACCTATACTCAAACTATTTTCAGCAAACTAAGTACCCTTCCTTACACTCCTTTTCACAAAATGTCCATTTTCACCATATTTCTTGCACTGCCATTTAAACTTGTAATATCCTTCCTTTCACACAATCTCGACTTATTATTATTATCATCAGATAAACACATTAAAAATTTAGAATTCACTTTACAAAGTGCCATGCAATCCGAAAATTAATCAACACTATTTCACACAACACACAATGAAGCTTTTCCAAATTACCCCCTTTTCCGATTAAAGAACTGTAGTTCGTCCATTAATGTCACGTTTCACACAACACAGAATATAGCTAAATACGAAATTTCCAGATTTCCCCCCTTTTCCAATTAAACAACTGTAATTCGTCCATTAATGTCACATGACATATCTCATGATCTCTCATTTCCCTCACACAAAATAATGCGTAATCGGAACTGCGTGCTTCTCACATTATTACCAAAGCCCTAGGTAGTAACCTTTATCGCCTCCAAAATGTCGCCAAACTACCAGTTACCATATTCTAAAGATCAGCCCAAAATACTTTTATTTAATAACAAAATATATACACCAAGAAGAGTAGTGTGCATTTATTTTGGGAAGTAAGCTGTCAATCAAATAATTATATTCTTTGCAGCTATACTGCATTAAGCAGCATTGACTTTAACATTCAGATCAATTTCAAAAATCCAGATCGTGATTATTATAATATTAATTATATAATTATATATATGATTATTATAGGAATAAATTGAATTTAAATAAATTTAATTTAAATACAAATTTAATAAATTCTTTGCGCCATTGCTGCAAGGAATGAAATTTAAATTTAAACAAATTTAAATTTTAACAAACATGTATATACATAAAAAGGAAATTTAAAGTTAAAATTAAAAAATGTGCAAACATATAAAAGATTTAATTTTCAAACTAATCTACAATATCATTTAAATTCAGATAGCATAAGTAAATCAAGTGCAAAACCAAACCATGAAAATAAATTCACCAATTTAGCAAATTAAAATTAATCTAAAAAATTTTTTTAAAATTGCATAAGTGAATGACTGTTGAGCAGGCAGGAGACAGACTTATCAAGGGCAAGTTGCCTCCCAAAATTTAAATTTAAATGTTAAAATTTAAATTTGTTTAAATTTATGATTATTATAATATATAATATTAATTTGGGAAACTGTTACATTATATTACATTGTGTAACAAAATCCATTGTGATTATCAGTGGTAAGTCTGGAAAAGCAAAGAGCCATGACAAAATTCCAGATCCTTTTAATCAATTTATTATAACTCAAGCCATGTATGGTTGCATATTATGCCGCTGAAAAATAATTTAGGCTCTCTTGAAGTATATGATTCATACTGCCTTAAATACTATGTACGAAAAATGCCCTTAACTGCATGAAATGCGACCTCACACCATTATGCTCAATGTCATCCTTTTGTATGCCCACTTATTGTATTATTATTATATCGTTGTCCTTGGTACCTGTGTGTTTTTAGACCTTCATTTTACCAAAAGAAAATATGGGACTTCATCAATAAACAAAGTTTATTTCTATTCACATACAGTTTTATCTGTGTTCTGCACCAGTTTAAACATAACTGTTATGCAGTTAGAGGTACATTGGTTGTTGATTGTTGAGTGTGAAATCCTGTGTCATGCAGACTGTGTCTGATGTTTTGTGTAGATACATTTTCATCTGATGATTCATAAATGCTGGCTGTAACTTTATTTGCACTTGTTAGCGGTCTTATACTATTATGTATATAATGTGATGGCCATTTCATTCAGTAATATATCAATGAGTTTCAGTACCTCTTCTTTGTGTACATTGATGGCATTTAATTTATTGTGATACATAGAATTTTTTTGTATTCAGCATTCTTCTCAAGCACTTGGTAGTTGCATGCATGGGCAAACTGATACCATGTAACTCAATGCATCCTTTCGTTACTACTTCAGCATTATGATATCCAGTGCCAACTATGTAATATGTATAAATGGCCTGATACACTTCAGTCTTTTCTTAATTCATGTTGTTGTTATTAAAATCTATCTGAAAATAATTTTATACCACACAATTATACTTTCATTTATTTGTTGATATTAAATTTATAATAATAATATTTATGGTATTGTATTTCTACGTTTTTAACAATAAAAAAAAGTGTAGAAGATATTTTTGTTTTGTATAAAATTAAGTCATTTTCGGAGCAACTTCGGTAATATTATGGAGTGCAAAACCCACTGCAATATTTTTTTCTTGTGCTATTTAACATAAAGTAATTATTTCATGTACTTAAATATCCATTGTTTATAATTTTTTTGTCTTTATAAATTGCTATAGAACTACATTATCAAAGTTTAAATGATATTGCGTCAAGTCATATTGTGTCAATGTAGATTTTCATTTTATTTGGCTGTGCTATACTGTACTAATTTTTGAAATTTCAATCAGTTTACTTTTTCAAAATATGTTTTCCTAATTTTATTAAAGCATAATGTTTGAAATTTGAATCTTTTAAAATAAATATAAAATATTCTCTCCTTCTAGAAGGCATTTCCTAGCAATCTGTTTATCAATTACCTTTCACGAATACACCGAGAAGAAGATTTTTGTTTTATTTTAAAGGGCTTTACTAGACTCCTGAACAATCCTTTGATCCAAACATACATTCCCAATTCTACAAAAAAAGTGCAGTTTCATCAGGAGCTTCTAATATTTTTTTGGAAAATATGTGATTATAATAAAGTAAGATTTTTATTTATGGTTTTAATGACAAGAAACTTTGCATGTAGATGTTAATGTAAAATAATAATTAAGCAAATGTAAATATATAAATTAAAGATAATATCACTAATTAATGAAGAGATTGTGAATAGTATAATGAAAATATATTGCATGTTATTAGATAAATTATTTCTATTCTAAGTTTCATTTTATGGGAATTTTTTTTTTTTTTTTTTACTTTGAATGAATAAATTAGCAAAAGATTTGTGTTATTTTTAGTTTCATTTGTTTAATGTTTTTTAAATAAATTCATATAAAGCTGTAATTTTTAATTTCAGAAATTCATGTTTTATGTTCTGAAAAGTAGTGAAGTACTTGAAGTTTTGGTTCCTATTCTGTATCATCTGAATGATGCAAGGGCTGATCAGTGTAAGAATAATTAATAAGTATATAATATGAGTAACCTTTAGTTATGTACGTTATCAAATAGTTGCACTGAAAGGGCTTATCATGAACTGGCCATTTTTCTAGAAGTATATTTGTTGTATGCCATACATCAATGAAATGTTCAATTTGACTATCTAAGAATTTTAATTTATATATTTTTTCAACTAAAACTTCTAGGTGTTCCTCTAAGATAACACATGTAACATTTTCATCTGTAACATAAATACTTAAATTTAGTTTAGTAGTATTACTTCTCTCAAATGTGCGTTTTTGTTTTAATTTTTCAAACTTTTCTTCAAAAACCATTGTTTTTATATTTTAAAGAATTATACATTCAAAGTGAAAGTTATAAGCGTAAAATGCTCACCTGTAATCCTTTTGAAAGCGGGTGAATGTTGCTAATCCAGATGCGGTGGTGATAAGAATCTGTTCCAGATCATTTGCTAATAAGAATGCTAATCCATGAAGTCAAAAGGAACTTTAGTATGGGGCACTTCTGGCACCAAAATTTTTATAGGAAAAACATCATTAATAATCATCACAAAACCTCATTGAATTGAGGCCCGGTGGCGCAGTGGCTAGCGCATTTCGCAGCAACACCACAGGTCCAGGGTTCGATTCCTGGGCTGGGCAAAGTCGACTCAGCATTTAATCCCTTTATTTCTATCACTTAAGTTGATAAAATGAGTACAAAATTCTCTTGGGGACTAAACACTGGTGGTCCTGCGACAAGCTAACCATTTGTTCAGGGCATATGCTTATTCACCCCGGGGCCCACGGTCAAGAAAGCAGATTTTGGGCACTGCAGGCCTTGGCCTATTAGGGTTGTTATGCCACTGAGTTTAGTTTAGTTAAACCTCATTGAATTATTACTAAATTATGATTTATTTACATAAATTAAATTGAAAAGAAAAGAAATAATAATAATTATTACATTATGGATTATTATTTGTCATTGTCCACATGTCATCTGCATGATATTTTAGCATTGCCGAATTCAGTTAGAGTCACAATTGCATGGCCATTTCCCATGCTATTATTTGGATTATGACAAAGCACACTAAAGCCATTTGTCTAAGGGGAGGAATGCCTTGGTGAACAACTTTCTAAAGGAAATTGGTTTGTATTCATGTTACACATGGGGAAAATGTTGAAAATAATTATGCAGCCAGCCAGTTTACCAGGATTTAAAATTGGTTATATTATCAGTGTTTGATGATCTTACCACATGTGTAGTGTTGGGCTGAAAAGCTGATAGAACAATCCCTCAGTCTATCTGTGTAGCCTTAAAGAGCTGCAATATATGCCAGTTTCAGCAAATGGTAGCTTTTGAGTAAACAGCATGATTTATTGGATTTTCACTCTTGCCAGACTGTAAAATACACATGTAAGCATTGTTAAAACTTAGAAGTCACCTGTATACTGTAATGTTAACAGGAATTTTGAACATAACTGTGGTAAAATTCTACCATGTCTGCAAATACTGAAATGACTTCTAGTAATTTTTAAATTCATGCCTTTTATTGCTTTGTCTAGTTTGTGCATACTGCAGAAGGGGATAACCTTCGATTTCAATGCTGATGAGAGAATATTGTTTATATTTTTATCAACTTTGCCAGTTGAAAACCTGCCTGGATGTCCATGTTGATTGCAATTAGTTGAGATGCCTTACTTGAGAGATACCACATTTTTACCAGGCATTTACAGACTAACATTATTTGGTCTAATTAGTTGCCATACTATTTTTATGTGAACTATACCTTGTTCTGAGTTATGACTTAAAAAAGTCTTTGGTGGCATAAAGTATCTTAAATTTGCATTCTCTCAAATAATTTGTGTGTTTATAGAACTTTAATGGTATGAGCTATGTGCAGAGCTCAGCTCTTCATCTTCACACTTCCATATCAACTACTCATCCTCTTGATTATGTATGCTCCATAAAGACGATGCATCTGAACATTAGTGATTGCTAGTACAGTATAAAGTCCAAAATCCAGACTCGTCGGGATTTCGGATTTGGGATTTTTCCAGTTATTAGATCATCAGTTTAAATCTAGTAAGATGGCATGTAGAAATTATAAAATTAAAAATATGAAATCCCGATTTATGAAATAATGAAGTATTTATGATCTAAAGGGTATCAAAATTTACGAAAAAAAAAAAGCTTAATATTTATTTGTTTACCTTATTAAACATTTCTTTCAATGCAAGTTGTTTAAGTTACTTCATTTTTTTTGGGGGGGAGGGTTAATACTTTCTCTTTAATTCTGTAGACAGACATAATCTCTTGTTGAGTTACATTGTTGAATTCCTGTAACTGGTGTTTCAAGAATTCCGACTAACTTGTCAATTGAAATTTTCTCGATTTCAGTAACTTCTTTGTCATTTTCTTCACTATCGATAGGAGTATTTTTTGGATCTAGAACCATACTACAGATTTCATCATTCATTAACTGATTGATGATTGAGAAGCATTGTCATCACAATGAAAAACTTCTTTTATATCATCTTCATTTATTACCGCTTCTCCAAATTCTTTACGAAATCCATTAATTGGAAATTTTCACCTTTGTTTTGCTATATCCAAAAACCTTTAAAATTAGCGGCTATCGTCACCAAATTTAGCTATCTTTCACTATACATATTTGGCTATGCATCATGAGCTTGGCGACTAATGACAATTTGTTCTGTTAAATTTTATCTCACTTCTATCATGCAATGAGATAATTAAGCCTGAATTATATTAGTTTAGTTATATCTTATGCTTATGTCTATTTCTTGCACATGCATAAAGCTTATCAGAGTTCTGAATAAATAAATTTCCACATATACTTAAGCCTTATTGAGGGCCGGCACTACGTATCTTACTGCCTGATGCTGTCTCTGTGGGTCCTATTATTCTGCAACTCAGTGCGGCCATATGAACTTTGGCGCTGGGTCTGGGTTTATGTGAATAACAAATCAGTTATTCTTAATTCAAATACCCCTAAATGTAATCTTTGGGTTTTATGAGTACTATCAACAAAATCTATTTTTAGCATATGGACAGAAATTTTTGGTAAATTTTTCCTCGTCAACACTTTTTAGCACATTTAACTTAAATCTGTAATTATTGCCAAGCATAATGTGAACATAAAAGGTTACCATACTCCTTTATTATTCAATTACTAACATTAAAAGAAATTGTTTAGGCATCACTACATGAGTCATTACTCAATTTGTCATGTTTTGATAAACATGCGATGATGAAAGAAAAATATAATAAATAATGATTCGCCAGATTAACGATGTATCTATGTGGAATGTTTCAGTTTGAGATATGTGCTAAGCAAATACACAGCAACGGAGCCAAATTACTGATCGTACAAATTTATGCTAAAATGGTTGTTTCTTCAATAACAAGGTATTTTATTTGGGGAAAGTGCAGTGTCACCCACTGCTTGACGCGTTTTTAAGAATTGCACATACTCGGTATCCATGTACACATCGAGCTATTTTCACTTAAAAAGTCAAAGAAAACGACAAAAATCCAATTCTTCTTAATCTTGCAAAAAGCGCCAAACAAATAAGTGGGTGATTCTGCACTTTAGCCTTTTATTTAGTGTCAAATCGAAATTAAGAATGGGGACTCTCCAGATGTTTTATTATGCACGGAGGGAGAAATCAAATGCGCATGTGTAAAGCCTTTGAAGTTCGGATTTTAGATCATTCTGGATAATGGACATCCAGATTTTGGACTTTGTACTGTATGGAGCTGACCTAAGAAATGTTCACCAAAAGGAGCCTTGAATTATGTAGCCTCTTGAATCCCTAGAATTTAATTCAACTAGACATCTGCACGACTTTGTGGATTGTTCATTCATGATGAGAGTGCCTGGCTTGTAATAACATGTAGAATACTTGTAAAGCATTGTGCAATGTGTAATAGTTACATTCAAGGGAAAATTTTGAACAAAAATACCTACCATTTCATCTTGCCTGTCAGTGCACATTGCTGGAAAAACTGGAGTAACTAATTTTGAAAGTAGGAAATTGTTAATTATATATGCAGGCAATTAAATCTTGTATTCATTGTCACCTACAAGATTTCTAAAATATCCAAAACCATGATAGAACTAAGAGTGTCTTGGGACTCTTGGTTCTACCATGATTTGGAGTATTCTGGAAAGCCTGGGATAAATTTCACCAGTGCAAAACATTTCTAAAAGAAATTAATGTAATAATAAATAAATGATACATAAACAAGTGTAGCTATTAAGAATTAATTGATAATTTATAATTACAGGTTATTAATAATAGTAAAATGCATTTTAAAATTTTTTGCGATGTATCATAATTGTCTCCAGCTTATACTTTAAGGAATCACTGCTTCAGAGTAGAAGAATGCTAAATGCATTTTATGTTTTCAAGTTGAATAAAATATGCTAAAATATGCTGATTAAAATAGTCTGAAATCCGGACATCCTACAATATCGAGAGTGATTTAATAAAATCCCGACCTCCAAATCACCAGCAACATGCCCCCATACCTTCTTTTTAATGCTTTATGCTTGTATGTTTGATATTTCTTCATAATAAAATCTGGAGGGTCCCAGTTCTTAATATCACTTTGGCAGTGACACCAACCTGGAAAATTATCATATATCACTTTTTTATTTTTTATTTTTATCATCTCATGGCTATCTTACATGCAGCAAAGTCTAAAAAAGTGTTTTATAATTATTAATATTAGTAATTGAATACCAAATAGCATGATAACCTTTTATTTTGGCATTACCCTTTATGATGATTACAGACTTCAGCAAACTCCACACAGCAAAGTATTGAGTATGTTGATGATGAGATATTTAATGAAAATTTCTTTCCATATGTAAAAAATGTATTTTGTAAATGGTACTTGTGGGTGAAAAGATTACATTTAGTGCTCTTTGAATTGAGAATAACTGATTTGTAATTCAGATAAGTCCAGGAACGGCACCAGAACTGCTGCGGTCACACTGAATGGCAGAATTTAGGGTAGGCAAAATTTTTAAAATTTAATTAAGCAGTGAGCAGCAAAATTAAGGGGTGTCAGAACTTTCAGAATTTAAGAAAGGCACCAAAATGCAAAATTTAAGAGCGAAAGCATTTTTAGAATTTAGAGAGTCACTTGACAGCAGAATTTAGGAACCTCAAAGACACTACCAAAGTGCAAACTGTCTAGTGCCAGCCCTGTATAAGCCTTAAGTATATTTGGGAATTTATTTATTAAAACTGAGATAAGCCTTAAGCATGTGTGGGAAATAAAAGTATAATAAATAACTAAACTAATAGAATTCAGACTTTGTCAGTGTGCAATAGAAGTGAGATAAAATTTAGTGGAACAACATTCTTTAGTCGCCAGTCTCATGATGTATTGCCGAAAGTGTATAACGAATGCTAACTAAGCTTTATGAGGATAGCTGTGAATTTGAAAGTTTTCAAGTATCGCAAACAAAAAGCAAAATTTTCCTGTTAATGGAATTTGTGGAGAAGCAGCAATAATAAATGAAGATGATATGACAGAAGACTTTCATTGCAATGGCAATGCCCCAGTCATCAGTCAAGTAATGGATGGTGAAATCTTTAATATGGTTTTAAGTCCAGATAAAATTGCTACTGATGGTTAAGAAAGTAACAGAGAGGCTGTTGAGAATGAAAAAATATCATTTCACAATTGAGTGGGAATTCTGGACACAGCAATAACAAAACAAAACACTGGAACATTTTAACTGAAAAAATATCTATAGAACTGAAGAGAAAGTATTAGCACAAAAAAGTAAATTAAACAACGTACATTGAAAGAAATGTTTAATAAAGGAAACAAATAAACACTGACTTTTTTTATATGTAAACTTTGTTTCCTTTGAGGTCATAAATGCTTCACTATTTCATATTTTTAATTTATAATTTCTATATGCACTTTGTATAAACTGATGAACTATATGTGGAATTTGTATAAACTAATATGTGGAAAAGTCCTAAATCTGAAATCACTTGACCCCTAAATCTGACAAGTCTAGATCTCTGACTTTGTACTAATATATATATATACACACACGCACTATATTTACACAAACCCATTAGTTCTTATATACAATATTTTTCTATTTAGAAGACACTAGGTGAGTTTATCGAATTATTTACTAAATTTTTGTGTATTTCTCCTTTCTTTATGTAGCAAGAGTAGGTCTTGTTCATATTGGAGTCTTTATTTTGCTGCTGTTAAGTGGAGAGAGGAATTTTGGTGTGAGATTAAACAAACCATATACAGCAAGTGTGCCTATGGATATTCCTGTGTTTACTGGAACTCATGCTGACCTCTTAATAATTGTAAGTAAATACAACAATCAGAAATTATTATTTAAGAGATTGAATCTTTTTTTTTTTTTTTTTTTTTTAAACTGAGAAGAAATTTTTACGAACTTAATTCATTTCATTTATAAGGTTTTCCATAAAATTATTACTACTGGTCATCAGCGTCTCCAGCCTCTATTCGATTGCCTTTTAACTATAATAGTAAATGGTAAGTGAAACCTTTTTTTTGGGGGGGGGGGATATTACTGCATGTTGAAAATATAATGTTTTATATAATGATATGCATTAATAAAATACAATATCAAGGCTTTACTGAGAGACTCGGTATTTTTCAACACATCTGCAAGTCTCCCCAAGGATTACCAAATCTTCTGGTTTTTAATTTTGGCTTTTATGAAGGAAAATGTTGTCTAGCAGTAATATGAAATTTATTCAATTATTCCATTTCCTACCTTTTTCAACATAATTTTTGGAATTAAATTTTATTTGATTTAATTTGTCTTAATCTACTGTAGACATTTGCAAAATCTTTTACTAAGATTCAAGCAAATTTTAAATCAGTTAATGTATGTATTCAATCTTGTTTTAACCAATATATGGTACATTACCAAGTTTATCCACACAACAGCATGTACATTAATTATTGATTTTATTTGCATCATATTTAAAAATACTTTGCTTAATAAAAGCTTTCGATTAATCTGAATCATGCATTATACAGTGAATTTAAGTCTATTTGGTATTCGTTTGAAATGGCATAGGCATGAAGTAAGAAAATCTCCTAATTTTTCATGTTTTAAGATTGAGAGCATTTTAAATAGTACAACAACCTGAATCATGCATTAGAAAGTGAATATAAGTCAGTGTAGTGGTTTTTTGAAACTGCAACATGTACAGCTGGAAAACCTACCAATTTTTCATATTTCAAAGTTTGTAAGGACAGATACAGGTATAAGTGGGGTGACACCAAAAATTCACTATTCATCCCACAGGTGTAATTCTGCAGCAGTAGTTGTTTAGCTATGACCCAGTTTTGATGGAAAACACACTGAGTGACAGTCTAAAGATCTCCCACCTCTCTTCACCTACAATTAAACTATTTGAGAGGACTTTTGGCTCACTGTATATTTTGAGTGCCTCAATGCCATACAAACTTTATACACTTAAAAACATCTGGCCTTCTCTGGTATTTAAACCTAAGCCCATTGATGCAGCGAGGTTTAAAGACAAGGTTTTCAGATTGTAGAACAGAGTGTATTTCAGCCTCTTGCGGCCATCTTACGAGGTTTCTACTATCTCTGATAAGATTGTATTCTTCAGCTTTGAGTTTTTATTGCCAATATTTAAATTGTTATGCTGGTGAGAAGTGTTGAGTCAACTTTACATTAAATTATTTGTGTAGCCTCTGGCAACTAGACTCGGTTTTAAACCTGAAATTGGCTGTTACTTTAAGTTACCTTGCCAAAGTGGTGATTGATTTGTAAGCATAAGTCACTTTTGTGTTCATGTTCAGATTTATTAAAAAGGTTTGTTTTAAAACCTTCCCAAGATTTTGTTGTTAACTTCAAACACTGTAATAATTCATTGTAAGTCTGTTAGGAGTTTGATACCAGTTTATGTTACCAAAGAATATCAAACTCTGTATCCTTAAGATCATAAATGTTTCATTATTTCACAAACAACTTTTTGTATTCTTAATTTATAATTTTGATGTATAGTCTTACAAGATTTATACTGACGATCAGCTCACCTGCGTCTGAGCAGTAAGGTTGCTGAAGACTGGTAGTTTAGTCCGAGATTTGAATTCCACAAACGGGCTGGCTGCATGGATAGATATTTTTGTAGTTTTCCTATATGTAACGTGTATACGCACCAGTTTTCCTTAGAAAGGTCCTCCATGAAGGCATCCCTTCCCTTAGGCGGATAACCCTCGAGTGCTTTGCCATAATAAAAAAATAAATAAAATAATGAAATTAAATTAATAATCTAAAATTTAGAATGTTTTAAATTGCTGAAGCTTCAATGATTACAGATGTTGGATTTTGTTCTTTATATTCGGTATTACAGTTGCATAATTAATTAATTAATATTGAAATAAACAGCTAAAAAAACTTGGTTTATATTTAATTGTTTTTAATTTATTTATTGCATTTTTCATGTATAGGAGCATTTGGGTCAAATTTAAAAAAAATGACAATTTAAAATTATTCCTCCATATTAAAATATTGGACTAATTTGCATTTAAATATGACTAAGAAATTAATTTTTCTTTTCAGTTTCTCCTTATCTGAAAACATTATCTATGGTTGCCAGTACAAAACTTCTGCATTTGCTTGAGGTTCAGTATTTCTGTTATTCATAATTAGCTTTCCCCCTTCTATATCTTCTAAGTGTCTTTCCCCACTTCTATATATAAATTATTAATATTCCTCACTTCTTCCCTTCAGTTTCTATTTTTCGTATAATTTAATTAAATGAATTAATGATAAAATGAGTTAATGAAGTTTTAATTTAATGAACTTATAAATAAATTTAAATATTAAAATTTATATATGATTAATTATATATTTTGTTTATTATATTTTGAAAATATAGTGTTAATATAGGTTTACTACACTGCCCTCCAAAGGCTAAGGAACAACATTGTCTAGTTTGAGAATGAAGCAACATAGAAACAAAAAAATTAGCGGACATTTTCATTAAACAGTTCTTTAATGAATGCGACATAGAATGTTTCTAAAGTTCAACACAAACATGAATTACAGCACAAAATTGCACTCTTAGCAGAGAAATCATTTCTTGCAGAAAACAGTATATCATAGTTCTTTTGAGGAAAAACCTGGTGGTAACATTACAAAAATGGGTTCTAATTAGGAATATATCTACCCCTAGCTGCAGTACATTAGTGGCAGCAGTGACGTTCCTCAATTAAGTTGTCAGTCAGTGAAATGGGAAGCAATGACCAGACACGAAGTAATGTTTGCTTAAGCTCATCTAACGACCTTGGAGGAGGACTTAAAGCAGCAACCTGTCTCCCAAGGTAGTCCCAAAGATGCTCTATCAGGTTCAGGTCTGGGGATTAAGCTGGCCATTCCATTCACTCTATACCATGACCCTCAAGATATTCTTCAGCTATTTGATCTCTGTGTGGTCACGCATTGTCATTCATCAGAAAAAATCCAAGACCAATAACAGCAGCATGTCGGCAGACATTTTGACCAAGGATCTTGTCTCGTTATCTAACACAGGTGAAAGTTCTTCCATGAAACACATGCAGGTTAGTGTGACCATCGAGATAGATCCCAGCCCAAACCATTATTCCACCATCTTTGTAACTCTGTACTTCTGTACAATGTGGGATTGTGTCTGGTGCATTGTTCCCTCTAGATCAGCTGACGAGCTGAATCAATCTCCAATATGAGCCTGGACTCGTGTCTGAAGAGAGCAGATGCCCATTGTTGGCTGGTCCAGTAGATGTGTTCTGTTGCCCAATGTAAATGGTCTCTGTGTCTTTGGTTCAAAGCGACACAAACAACTGGTTGTCTTAAATGCAGACGTGTATTGTCCAGACGTCTGCACACTGTAATAGCTGAGATTCTTGTTCCTGTTGCCACTAAATGATCTACCATGAGCTGAGGCACAGTATTGTTGCTCCTTCGTCGGGCCAAAAGAGGTAAATAAAGGTTCCCACAGGGGTTGTAACTCTTGGTTTGCTGGAACATGTCTTCTAGACATAAAATTCTCGGATTCAAACTGCTTCCATAGTTGCTGGACTACACTATGAGAGACACTGAGATGTCTAGCAGCATCAGCTTGTGACATACCTTTTCCATCCATCTTATCACTCACCACCTTAACGAATTGTGAAACAACTTCTCTCCTTGATATTGTCAATGAAATTGTTAATAAGAATTGAAGATCAACACTTGTGAACAAATCTTTCGATTTTTACCTTTTTCCCTCCAACTCCTGTATAATTATTAATTTCAATAAATTAAAAGTGTTAGTTATTGTTTTTGCATATATTTTCTTAAACTCTGTTATATAATGCATATAAACAGTGAATTGAAATGTTACTGATATTTTTGTAATGGTGAGCATTGAAAAACATACTGTTCCTTAACTTTTGGAGGGCAGTGTATAAAGCATGTGTATGAACTGTATCAATTAAAAATCCATATTTTTCTTATTTTCAGTAAAATATTTTAATTTGTGATAATTTTTTCAAATTGTTTAAGTGTGATGAAGAAACAGAAGAAAAATAATTGAATATAAAACAAAAGTCCCAAAATTAGAAACTTACTACATTTGTTAGAGCAGGGTATATTTTGTGTGTTTTAACTGAATGTTGTGAAACAAATTCAAGTCTTCTAAATTATTGAATAATCCTGAAACATTTCAAGAGTAATTTTAAGTGTTACACTTCAAGCAATTAAGAAATGGCATTATTTTAAACAATTAAATTTCTTCATATAATGGTAATCATTCAAATGTTAAAGTTAAAATACAGTCAAAAGTCGTTAATCCGGACTCATCGGGACTTCGGCGATTCCAGATTATCGATTTTTCCAGATTATAGATCATCAGTTTAAATTGCGTAAGATGTCATGCAGAAATTCTAAAATTAAAAATATGAAACCGTAATTTATGAAATAAAGAACAATTATGATCTAAAAGGTATCAAAATTTACAAAAAAGAGCTTAATATTTATTTGTTTACTTTATTAAACATTTCTTTCAATGTAAGTTGTTAAGTTGCTCCGTTTTATGTGATAATACTTTCTCTTTAATTCTATAAACAGGCATAATTTTTTGTTCAGTTACAAAGTTCCGCTGTTTAAGTCCCATTAATTGCTGTGCCGAGAATACCGGCTAACTTGTCAATCGAAATTTTTTCGTTTTCACTAACCTCTCTGTCACATTCTTCATGTCTTTATCCATTTTTTGCACTTTTTGTTTGATGGACATCGAAACATACTTTCGCTTTGTACGATCCTTTGGGAGCTCCAGAATCGGAAATTCTATTTGACATAATCAAAAGTTCAAGTTTACTTTTATAGTATTGTTCTTACAGTCTGCAAAAAATAATAAGCCGGATCCAATTCGAAAATTAAGGAACAACGCAATCATCAACATTAATTGAAATAGATAATTAGATAATTTTAGCTTATACCGTCCGTTATACATAAAACGCGCACGCGAAAACGTATTCTGCGCTTGCGCACACGCAAATGCGCAGTCGTAAGAGGACTTATGTGCACGCGTAAACGTCTATGCACATGTGTCAACACGGTGCATACGCAGAAAGTTTTTAGCTTTGAGGTCCGGATTATAGATCATTCCGAATTATGGGCGTCCGAGTTAACGACTTTTGACTGTACTACATTATAAGGCTGTTATCAATTAACCTTATTATAATGATATTTATCAGTTTCAAATAAATATTAAATATGGGTTTTTACTAGTCTGAATATTATTAAATGTTTACATATGTGTGAAATTAAAAATATGTAATGGTAATTATATGTGTTGTTTAACTTTATTGAATGTAAATATTTTTGGCTATATTTAAGAAACATTATATTGGGCTTTGATTAATGTCATACTATGTATTATAACATATATAACATACTATGTATCTATGTTCATTTATAGGCTTTTAGCACTCCTTGGTATTTGTACAGCAGTCCTACAAATCATCACCTTGTTTTCTTCCTATTAGAAATTTTTAATAACATTATACAATATCAGTTTGATGGTAAGAAATATTTATTTGTGTATTTATTGTGTAGTAGATTCTTTATTTGATAGCTTGCTAATTTTTAATTTTTGTAAATATTTTTAGGTAATTCAAATTTAGTGTATACAATAATTCGTAAAAGAAATGTTTTCCATTCATTGGCAAATTTGCCTACTGATCATAATACAATCCAAAAATCTCTCAGCAAACGTAACAAATTAGTACCTTCAACCAGTACCATGAGTCTGAATAGTTGTGTCTCAGGCATTAATAATCAAAGCATGGAAGGGTCCACACCTGCAAAACCAGCAGAAAAAGGAACTTTAAATGCTTCTTTAGCAGCCACACCATGTAAGTTTTGTGTGTTATTTAAAAAAATTTTTAATATTTTTTCTGTCTAAATTTAAAAAAAAATTCCATTAGTAAATTTAGTTTTGTATCTAACATTATAAAATTGTTTTAATTTCTTTTTTTAAATATTTTTAAATTCAGAAAAACATTTAGTCAATTACATATTTGCCAATTCCATCATTGACCTTCTTTCATCTTTCTGGAAACTGAAACATTCCTCTTTTATGGAATTTCAGAGACAAATTGGTTAAAACTGATTGAAGTAGTTTTGGCAGGAATCAAATCTGGTAAATTTTCACAATTAATAAAGTTCTTCCCAAACCTAAAAGGATGATAAAATGTATTGACTACATAATGAGAACACTAAAATATCCTAACCAGGTACAAGTTTCTGCTTAGTTTCATGCCCATGGTGGACTATAATACCTTTTCTCTTGGTTAAATCAGACCTTCTGTCAATTTCTACTTTCCATTTTGGTAACTATCAGTTAGATTTACTGAAATTGATGGTTTAGTGGTAGCAACTTTTAACGTACTAATTTCAGCTAATAGATTAGTAATTTTAATTTAAAACTGGAACAATGATGGAAACTGCTTTTTTGTGCTGTACCAGTTTTGCTTCCTAAATTGTAGACTTTCTAATGATATACTTTGCATTAGAAAAGTATTCTAAACATACCACTTTCGTAACTGGTTCATGTTTGTGTGTTACCATTATTATGGACTTCTAAGTATGTATACTATATATGAGTTATAGAAAACATAAAATTCTGAGTTCTAATTTAGACATGATATGATTGCTGATGAATTTAAGATGGTTTCAAAATGACTTGTTGCTATTAGGTAATACTCATATACATGTACATGCACAAAACTCAACTAAATTAAATTTTTTTAAGGGATAAATTGTTGGTTTTTTGAAAACTAAAGTTTTGATAATGGACCAAATTTTAGATTTTTTTTTATTGTATTGCCTTAACTATTTATTTGTAGGTATAGATAAAATGACAGAAAGAGAACGTGCTCATCCTCCAAGTGCTCCCACAAGTCCTCCTGCAAGTCCAACAGAAACTAGTCCCCCTTCAGTACACAATTCTATTCTTAATAACAAATCAACTGAAAGTGCTAGTAATTTGGAGAAAAAATTTGAAGGCTTAGAACCTGAAGGACAAGAAATGGTGACTGCAGCAAATGCACCTGACACAGAAAATTCTAGTAAAGAGGAGGAAGGAAAAATTGATAGTTCATCAACTAAGGTTGTAATAATATTTCATTTTCACAATTTAGTGTGAATTTTTTTTTATTGTTATGTATCTGTTTTTTAAGAATTTTCATCAATTTTTACGAATATGTCTGTCAGTTTTAAATGAACTTGTTTGTATGAATGTATGCAGATTATTAATGCATTTAAAATAAAATAATTTTTTTACTAAATTTTATATGTTCCTAGCACATATAAAATGTATCAAAGCAACTAATGTGCATAGGCTTGAAATCATAAATTGAATACCGTATGTGCAGAACTGTAATTTTCATGTTCCTCATTCATTGCATTTTGTTTTTTGCTTAATATGTCCATATATATTTCCTTAAATTTTTAATTGGTAAAAATAAATACGTAGTAGATTAAGAAATAATTTCATCAACTATAGGTTTATTTACTCACTAATGCTAGCTAGATCATAAGTTTGGCATTTATTTTGTTTAAATAAATTAGTAGAATTTTATATGCACATATATAAAATTTTGTGTGCATTATATAGTTCGTCCCAATGAAAAGATGATGAGTTCCATCTCTAGCTGCTTGTTGTACTGTATTTGAATCAATACCTGTATTGTTTGCTTACATATTTTAGCTATTTATCATTGTAAATAGTTAAGGCTGAGACATTAAATATAATATCTTTCAAGCACTAACTGGGATATAAAGAAATCAAGACTTTATTTAATGATAGATTTATATAATGATAAAGAAATCCAGTTTTTAAAATTTAAATCAATTTTTTATTTAAATTAGATATTTATATTTTTTGTATTAATTTATTAAATGTTTTCCACTTGTTGATGGTTTTCAAACTAATTAAACCTATAACTAGATGATATTAAGAAGTGTAACAAATATTTTATGCATAAATTATATAATAACTAGAGGTAATATAAATTGTACATACTTTTATCAATTAGTGCCATAAAATATAATGAAATATCTTGACAGCTTTTTGCCAGCAATAAGCTGCAAAGTCACCTTAATCACTTGACTATAAACTTATGTATGCATACACACAAACAAGCAAATAAACAAAAAAAAAAAAAAAAAAAAACCTCTTGTGGTGGTACCTTTTATCTAGATACTGGAGAAAAAATCTCAGTGTAGTAAAAGCTGAACTATCTGGAAACCTTGAGAAATTCCAGGCATGCAAAATTTATGGATAATTGGGCATATAAAATATGCATTTCACAATAGAAAAGCCAAAATGCCAAATGAATGTATAAAATGTTTTCAATCTAAAATTATAAAAGAGTCGTTTTATTTGTTATCAACTTGAATATCAAATGCCTACATTTAAATCATCTGAGGTGTTAAAAGAAAAAAGGGTCAATTTAGGCATAAGTGCTAACGTAAAATATCCAAGTACAAAATTCTGTCGACATTGATAATTGGCTGTGATCTCTCCAAACTTGCACCAAGCATTCCGGCAGATGTTTGAAGAAACAGATTACTTTTTCTTTAGTTAATCAACATATACAGCTTAAACTGATTGTCATAATTTTTGCACATTGCACAGTCAGTGTTTATCCATTTTCACATAAGTCCCACATTTCTTGATTCCAGAATACCATAAATTTGAACTACTCTGCTGCATGGTGTTTTGTTGAAGACAAGTTCGGAATTTTAATCATTTTTTTTTCCAAATGTAAATGAAATGACACCATTTTTTTAAATTAAACTGACTTATTGAGAGTTAATACGATTTATATAAAGCAAAAGTGTTACTTCATAGTAATCCATTATTGGCATTAAATTGCACTGTTTGGTGGCAGTTTTCGTTTGGTTCAAATTGTAGTCCTATTCATGCTTTATAATTTAATTACAGATCTTCTATTTGCTTAATTTTACATTAAAAAAAATTTCTAATTCGAAAATATTTTAGTTACTTGAGCTTTATTGTTAGTTGAGTGCTAGATAGTTGGTCTTTTACTTTATACACATGCTGGCCATTAAAATTGCAACAGGAGGAAGGAATGATGTGATGAATGTCAAAAGCACAAGAGGTTGGGATATGCAAATGATTAGTATTTCAGCCCATTTAGATGATGCAGGAGGGAGGAATGACATCTGAAGATTTGCATAAAAGAAAAGTTGTGTAGTGGATTTCTCATTCAGAAAGCACTTTGTAATGTCGGACTTACAAAGAATAATGTGTTATGTCTGGAAAAATAAGAAGAAATGCTTACCAGCAAGTATCAGAATGTGATAGAGGCAAGATCATTGCCCATCAAAAGTGTGGATTATTGTTCTGTGATATCGCCTGTCACACTATCAACATCCAACCACTGTCATGCGAATATGGAATCAGTGGGTTGCTGAGGGTCATATTGAATGGCATGCAGGATTTCAATGCCCTCCTATGACTAATGCCCTAGAAGGCAGACATGTGAGGGTCAGCCCTGCAAAACAATACAACCACATCAGGGACCATTAGTCAAGAAATGAACATGTTTGCAATATGCCTAGTTATCTGCTTGTATGGTGCATCAACGTTTGTAGCTACATAGACTATCAACACAAACGACCATTACTTCGGCTTCCTTTGACAATGTAGCATAGAGAGAGACAGTTACTCTGGTGCACCAAATGACAAAGATGAATATAGGAGTGGCACAACATCGTCTCGTCTGAACAATGAACAGAAGAGTTCCGATTCTTTGTGCAGTATTCTGATGGCCCTATACCTGTCTGGAGGCTCCGAGGAGACCACACATTGCCTGCTTGCATTCGATATCGGCATAGGGGCCCTGCACCTGGTGTGAATGGTTTGGGCAGCCATTGGGTGCACGACATGCACATCTCTAGTTTGGATCAATGGTAATTTGAATGCAGATCAGTACATTGCTTACATCTTAAGTTCAGTGGTTGTGCCCTATCTTCAAGTCCTGCCAAATGCCATCTTCCAACAAGATAATTCAATACCACATGTTGTACGTTGTGTTCTGACCTTCCTCAATACACAGGGAATTTGACTGCTGCCCTGGCCTGCACAGTCTCCAGATCTCTCACCCATTGAAAACATCTGGTCATGGGTTACTGAAAGACTGGCCCACCACCCTTCTTCAGCTAATACAGTTGATGAAGTGTGGCATAGGCTGAAACAGAATGAGTTCCCTGTTTCTGTCATTTAATACCAGATCATTTCTATGCCTAACCAGGTAAGAGCCGTTTTAGATACCAAGGATGTGCAACTGTTTCTACTAATTTTGCACACCTGTAAACCCCCAAATTGCTTACAAATTTAATCATTTTATCTTTATGCCATACTGTTTATGTACAATAAATATATCTTTTTTGTATTTGTTTTCCTTCATGGTGTTGCAATTTTAATCGCCAACAGTGTATATAAACCGTAGAAATTATGCTTATCTTATTGCAATCTGCATAACTTTTCCAAAACAGTTTATCACACTATGTCTGCATTATTGCCATTTGCATTCAGTGCTTCCAACAAAAAGGAGTTCTTCTGCTCTTTCAGCTCTCAATCTGTAATTGATATCTTAATTTGTTGTGTGAACTTTCAAAAGTAGAAAACCTTTCCAGTACCTGCTGATGAAAATTTTGCTGTGCTTAACATTTGAATGATAACCAGTTCTTTTCCATTTGTGCATTTTTTCTTAAGAGCTATTGATTTCTGTTATTAGTAGTATTTCTGTTATTAGTAGTAAGTATGATTAGTGACTCAATTATCTCATTTTCATAAAGGGTTCCATAGAAAGGTGAAACATGAATTATAAATTTCATTGTAATTATGAAAAAGGTAGTTTCTGTGTATATATAATATATGTGTGTTTGCATGTGTATATATATATGTGTTTGGGATCTATTTATTGATGCAATGAATAATACTTTCTTTAATGGACAAAAACAAAGACAAAATACAAATGTATACATAATTTTAAAAGACAGCTAACACTTTACATCTTTAGAATTCAACTTATCTATTGTCAACTTTAAACAAATCTTCTTCAAATAAAATTGTTGTTGCCATCCATTGTTAGATTATTATTTAATTATAACTTTCACTTTCAACAAACATAAAACAAAAGTAATGCCAATTTCCACAATTAAAAAAACAGTTCAAGATTCAGTTCATACCGACCATTATTTGAAATGCTTTGGAAATATATATTTTCATCAAGTCTGAAAGTCCCACTATGCATGATCATTGCATGTCTGCAGTATCAGTATCATTAATTCCGAAATGTTCCACATGTTCTGCCTTGAAGTATAATGGCCATCTGCCTGGATTGCACGGAAATTTAAGTGTCTAGAAGAATGAAAGGACAACAGGTGCGGTGTTCTCACCCCCTACACTCTCTCTCTCTGTATATATGTATATATGCAGAAACTGCTTTGTGCTTGGAAAATGTCTGTCAAAAATGTAAAGGCAGGTACAAGATACTTAAATAAACAGATTTTGTAATGTGTGTGCCCAAATAACATTTTGAGATGATACTAATATCTAACGAATGGAAGATAAAAGCCTTCTGCTGGAGTTATTATTTCTCATGCAGATTTCAAGTGATAAATGTTGCTACCCAAAAACGAAGCTCTTCAAATTGCAGGGGCTGCAACATTTGTAGGGCTACAGATGCAAATGTAGTAGCTGCTTTCTTTTAACCACAGCTCCATAGATAAAATTTATATCAGGAAACTTTGTGCCTGTGTACTGATTCATACTGCTCAAAATCCACACAGGTAATTACAATTTATGTCAGATGAATGCTTTTATCTTTTACCCAGCAGTGCTTTGTACCACCTCAGTGTACACACATTCCATTACAAATTTTTTTTTTTTTTTTTGTCTCCACTGTCTTCACATTTTTGCCTGTTATTTTATGAGCACTATACATATATGTGTACTAATTTCAGTGCTTGTTTCATTAAGATCCTAATGAGGCTTTATGTTTTGGTGGTAAAATATACATTAAAAATATACATTTTCCATTATTTAAAATCATCATGCTCTCTCCCTTACTTTTTTTTAAATTTCATACTATTGAACAAAACAATGCAAAATTTAAATCAGCTGTTTAACACCTATAAAGCGATCTAGGTTTCCATACCTTTGCTTATTTTTTGTTCCTGTTCAAAATTCTATGCATATTTGAAGGAATGTGAATCAAATAGTTATATCTGCTTTCTTTATCATTCAATGTCAAACGGAAATATTTGTTACTTATAACTAGTTTTGGGTTTCTAGAATTTGCATTTTGATTTTTAATTTATATACACTCATATGATATGTGAAAAACTACAAAAATATATATGTAATATCTTTGGTAGTATTGTAAGATATCAAAGTGAATCTAACCTTAAGTTTGTTCCTTTTTTTACATTTTTTTTATTAAATGTGCTATTTAGATTTGATATATTAAAGGTTTTTAAATTCTACAATAAAGAATATTTTAGCTTATAGCTATAGTTTCTATCTTTTATTTGCCATTATTAAGAACAGCTGTATATATCTGAAATTTGAAAGATGTTTTTGATACTTTTTTTTAACTATATGACATTTTTTAATTGTTACTACTGATTTAGAGTTTATGATAGGATTTTTGTCTTGCTGTAATATAACAATTAAAAACTACGTGACTACTAGTTTGATCTACTGCTTTTAGGTAATTATTTTTTTTAAAAGGTGCTACTAAAACACTGCTTTTAAATTTGAATGTGTGATAAAATGGCTATGAAAAGGAAAAGATTAAGATATCAGCCAATTTTAATGTGCCATCTGAAAAATAAATAACTGACTAAAAGCATTAGATTACGTACTACTTGATTGTTGAATTGGGTATCATGCTTAAATGATGTGTTTGATTTTAAATATCAGTGCATTTTGTGATTCAAAATCATTCTCTCTTTCTCCGTCTTTCTTTTTTTTTTTTTTTTTTTTTTTTTTTTTTTTTTTTTGTGTGTGTGTGTGTGTGTGTGTGTATGAGAGAGAGAGATTCTATTATAGTTTAATATATATGGAAATTACATATCTATGTAGGTTTCACCCCCTCTTAGCCCAACACCTTCAATTGATTCATCAAGTTCTGAAGCTGCATCTACAGTTACCAATACTTTCCATCGAACTCGTGCTAGTTCTGCTGCTAGTTTTTCTACTACAAGTTCTGTTACTGGTGTTCCTCCTAGCCAGTGGGTTCCAACTTCTGACTGGGTTATTTCATGGAAACAGAAATTACCTCTTCAAACTATAATGAGACTTTTGCAAGTTTTAGTACCTCAGGTTGAGAAAATATGCATTGATAAGTAAGTGTTTTGGCTTGTATTTATTGTGGTTGTTATGATGATGATGCTTTATGAATGGATTTATGAATTATTTATGATGATTGCTTAAAATGATTTTAATATAAATTAATTGTTAGTAGTTTGAATTCATCTTAAGAATATTTTGTAACCTTTTTTTTTTTTTTTTTTTTTTTTTTTTGTTGTTGTTGTTGTTTCATTTTCATACCAAAAGGATCAATCAAGAAGCAGCAATATGTAGCAGAACTAGCTTTCTGCCAGTAGACAATAGTTTACCTTCCTGATGGCAGAAAGGGGTTAAAATTTATTTAAAACTGACAAAAAATGCCAACAGCTGGCAGAAACTAATAAAAGCATTGTATTATTTAATAATGCTAATTGATATATTTTTTTTGCTTAAATTAGTACTGTTTTATTAAATTATATTAAGAACTTTATTAAATTATTTAAACTGAAGTGAGAGATTAGAAAGAGAGTCGGTGATAAAATGGTTACTGCGACTGAAGATAATGACCTGGTGGTTGTTAACAGTTTTCATACTAAATGTGTGTATGTTTTTAAATTGCAATAAATACAGGATGTAGGGAAAAGACTGCAACTTATTGTGTACAAATATCCAAAGTGGCAGTAGCATAAATAGAAAATGAATACTAGTGGGATACCTGTTATAATAATAAATGAACATAAAATGGAATTGATGAGAAATGAATTTAATGAAAACAGATTTTGAATGCCTTATGTATATTCTGCTCATTACCTAAATCTTGGGTATATGTTTTTTTATGAAGCATATTACATCTGTTTAGAAATATTTCAGAAATCTTTGCAAACAAGTTCAATGATGATAATGAGCTTAATTATAAAACAGTAGAATTAGATTGAACAATCTGTTAGGTTGCCTAAAATCATTTGTAAGAAAATTTGCATACTATTTACAAATGCTTGAAAATCATGAAAGTGATATAAATGATTAAAGGAAATGACTCTAGTGATAAATAATTTCATTGTTATTAAAGAAGGAAAATACTTATTGCAAATATTAAAATTTATTACTGTTGTACTGAATAAAATTTAAAAAGATTGTTTTGTTGCAAATGTTTATAAAATATGGTTGGCATTAATAATTACAATAATCTTATGAAAATGGACAATAATTCAATATCGTGCTAGCTTGTATACTTCATCTAAAGCATATGGGATTTAAATTGTTCATTGAGAGCAAAAAAGTGCAGGACATTCTTTTATTATATAAACTAATATTTTTTACTTGATATAAACTATCATCAAGCTTTCTTTTATTATATAAACCAACATTTTATGCTTGATATAATATCAACAAGCTTTTAAAACAAAATCTACTTCTTTTCATTATGCATATTTTTTAATAAAGTCTTACAAAATGTTTCAGATTCTACATGATGATTTAAAGAAAGAAACTGCAAATGGATATTTCATAATTCTTGTTTACACAGTGGTTATATTGCTTGCAAATAAGGCTAAGCTCTAGAGAATATTCACCATCTGTTCATTTATTCAGAATAAATATATATATATTATCTTAAAACAGTAGCTAAATTGGTCTTCTGTTCTAGTTTTTTCTGTGGAAAAGATTAGGCTGAATTTGAATAGTAATGTAAAACATGTAGTCCTGCTATGTAACCTTTAAATTAGTATTGTAAACATTATAGCAGCACTTGTTTTGTTTTAAAATACATTTGCATCTACTACTAATAGTACTTTCATCTGTTTTCAGTTATAGGAATTTCTGAAACTTACTGCCTCTTTTATGGCATGTTAGCTTTAACTGATGATTTTAACCATTTTGGCAGAAACTTTATAGTTCTTATCTGTGATTCTTTCATAATCACTTAACTGATTTGCCAGTGTGCTGTAAATGGCCACTAGTGGAAATCACTTGATTTGTTTGGGCAGTATGCGGACTAAAAGAGTTATACACTTTGTTAATGTTTTGTCCATATTTTTGTTTTTTATTTGTTCACGCTTTGTCAAGAGATTTTAAAAGCAGTCCATTGATCACTGTTCTAGTATTATTTTTTTTTTTTTCCTGATTTTCTGGTAAAATATTTTTGCATATATGGAACATTTTTCTGAAACATGGGGAAAGGTTTTGGGGGATGAAATTGCACTCTATGCTAATGCTAATTGCAAATAATAATGAAATTCTAATATTAAAATATTATGTATGTAAATATCTATATGTATGTGTATATCTGTAATATAAATTCTGTAGATATCTTGATGATTTTTTATGGCATATATTCATTTCGTGCATAATGGAAAAGAAAAGCTTTTTAAAGTGGCCATGGATCTCAACACTTGTTTTTATTTTTTAATAGAGCAAGCCTTAATGTGCATAATCAGATACACACAGCATCATTTATGGGTGCGCCGTGCTCCCGAAAGTTCTGTAAAGCCTATATCTTCTTAGGCAAAGAACGAAATAAAAAGCAAACTATGGCTAGCAGTGAGGTGAAGCAGGAAAAAAACAGTAACAGCAGTATTTATAGACTTGGGTCTTTTATTTTAAATTTTGAGCTGCCATGCAATCCAGGAAAATTATTATAAAAAATTTTAGAATAGAAAGAGGTGATCCACAAATTAAAATGAGGAATTGTGGGGCTATTGCAAATTTTAATTATAATTTTGAGTTACCAGTTTTTCTGTCTTACACACAAACAAACGAACACGCACATATATAGTATATATTATAATTATTATTAATGTAGTCAAATGGTTATAAACAACATGTTAATTTTAAGTAATAAAACTTTTAGAAATTTTCTCATAAAAGTTGCTCTAAATGCTTAAATTTAATATTTTAGGGCATTTAAACTAAAATTAATCTTTGTTGAAGACAAACTTCAAATGAAACCTTAATTAAAGAAAAATGACATTTTTTGTACCCAATTGGTCACAAAAAAGAAACAATTAAATCGGCAATAAAGAAGAATTTACTGATATAGAATGTGAAGATTTTACTAGTATGTATAGATCTTAAATTTTACCAAAAAAAGTTATAATTATACAAATCTTAAAATATATTTCATACAAAATTATGTGTTCAAGACTAGGGATGCTAGTTATATCTTTCTGGATGCTACACTTGTCCTTAATGCTGAATTAATTATATTTTGTAACACAAAATTCTGAAGAGCCCAAGTAAAAAAGATATAAACAGCATGAACTATCTCTGTAATATAAGGCAAAAAAAGGAGTAATGAATATTAAACACTTTGGCATAAGAATGTCTGTCAAAATATAATTTCTTATTTTGTTTTTAATTTTTTCTCCTGCATTGTAAGTGCTTAATTTAGCCATTTTTAGTTTAATAACCACAAATAATTTAATGATTTAAAACTCTAATTTAACCATATTCTTCTAAATTAAGTTAGTAAAAATAATTTTGCAGTGCTTTGAAAGACATTCTGTATTATTTCCGGGCTATAAATAGTATTGAAAGAATCAATATTCTCGGTTTTCACCCAGTTCAGAATTTAAACTCAAATACTTTGCTTCTTTCTGGCCATGGAGTTTCACTAGCACATTGTTAGAAATAGAATGGAGCAAAAATATGTACAGGCTTACATGTTAATAAAACCGTCATTTGCAGAGTGAATGGAGGTGCTACTGTAAACACATCTGCAGAATTTTGACAGTACAACTAATTTGTAGAAAAACACTGCAAATTGAAGTTTTTTAAAATGTTAAGTCATGCTTTTTACATGAATAAAAACTTTTCAATATTTTTAATAATATTATTATGAAAGCATAAATTTCACATCAGTCTTCTATTGCAAAATTTTAAAGGTATGAAAAATTAACACTTACGTTAAAACAGTGGCCTTCCTTTCATGTACTGCAGTTTCATCACTGTCTGATTACTGCAATAAATCCTGTCACGTGTTACACTTTTTTAGCTCTCTTTTCTGTCCTGTTGTATTCTGACATACTCTATTGTTAAAGGGAAAATGTTTCTTGGAAGCAAGCAGTAAGCTAAAGAGACCTCATGAGTGCCTTAGATGTTTGCATTTTAGATGTAAGTGTTCATTATTTTCTCAAAACTTGAGTTTCTGAAGGTCATGAATGTAAAACACATTATATCTGAAACAGAAATATTTCATTTAAAAAGGTGAATGTGAATTAGCTTTCTTTTAGGGTAAAATTATTTTTTAGTGTGAGCAAACTCATATCTTTATTTTAGATTCCCATAAATGAATGTATGTATTAATTATCTACAAAGGTTTTTAAATCATATTTAGTTTTTTATCATCATAATATTTATATTAAATAATTTGTTGTTAGATTTCAAATACTTCGTTCATCATTTTAGGAATACATTTGCAGTATTTTTTATTTGCTTAACGCATAGCGGAAAAGAAAACATTTGCATAACATTGCTCGATTGTGCTAATAAATTTCAATTATTTACTCTATGTTTTTTTTTATATTCTAATTATTTTTGTTTGGGCTATTTTCATTTATTTATATAAACAGACATTTTATTTCACTAAAAATTTTACATTATCCTGCACATATCTATATTTTGTATAAATCCCATTACAACCTCACATTTAAGGAAATTTAGATAAAATACTTTGTATCCCTGTCATTTTTCTCAAACTTACAAAAATTATTATGTTTATCAAGTACTGTAACCAATCCTATTTGCAGCTGTAGTTAAATTAAATTTTCATTCCTTTTGAAAAAGAAATAACCACTTTTTTTTAAAATATTTAAATTCAGTATTGCATGCACTGATACATTTTTAAAACAAATCTTCTAAATTTTTTGTACGAATTTTGTAGTCATAGTAGAGCTTTTCTTTCACAGGGGATTAACTGATGAAAGTGAGATTCTGAAATTTCTACAACATGGAACTCTAGTAGGTTTATTACCTGTGCCCCATCCCATTTTAATTCGAAAATACCAAGCTAATAGTGGAACTACAATGTGGTTTAGAACCTATATGTGGGGAGTCATATATTTAAGGTAAGTGTATTCCTATTTTAAAATCAATGCATAAAGTAGGAAGTAAAGACCTCATTGATATAAGAATTTCAAACATAAAAACCAAGGGATCTATAATAAAATAGAAAATTGTATATACAGTGATGCAAATGCAATTTTATTTTCTTTGATGACATTTAAGAAAATCTGAAAGCATTAAATTTTACCAATTAAAGTTGATTTATTGAATTGTATTGTTATTTAATGCATATAATTTTATTTAAAATATATAATGGTAATTATGTCAAATTTTCTTTTTTTTCTCATAACTGAAGATCTTCCTCCTAATATTTATAATACATTTGCAGTTTTTATTTGATGAGAAATAATTATGCAGGTTTGTTTGTAATTTAAGATAAATAGCTCATAATATGAAATATCTGAATTATCATAATTCACATTCCTCATGATAAGAGGTTTGCAGATTAGTGAATTTTGCAGATTATAGGTCTTGTCTTTCTTTTGTTTTTCTTTTTTCCATTAAACCTGGATTATTTGCAAGAATTATTTAGTCAAAATTTACTAATTATAAAATTACTATTTTTTAAATACTGGCAACTTGCCAGCTGTCTAAAATAGTTATTATAAAAAAATAATGTACTAATGAGTCCAGTAATTACTAATAATAGCGATAAATAATTGCACTTATGGCTTTGAAATTGTTAAGTTTATTAATAAATTTATTAATATTAGAAAATTCATATTAAAAAAGTTAAATATATCATACTTTGCTGAGTGCCAATGCAACTGGCTTGTGGAAGATAAAAATATTTTATTCCAGACAGTAGCAACTCATTTTGCTTTCCAGTTTCTTAGTTTGTTGATTAAATTTGAAAGAAAAATATCTTAATTCTTCGTGCATATCACATAAGTTTTTTTAATTAGATTTAATTAGATTTGCAAAAATGTGAAATAAATTCAAAATTCAGGCTTCAAGTTGTATATTCAAAATTTAATGTAAATGCTGCCATTTTTCACAATGTACATATGTACAGATTCTTCATTATTTAATAATAGACATAACTGTATACGAAGAAAATAGCTTCTGTACAAGAGGAAAAAATAGCAATGTGTAAAGATTTCTCTGTTTTTTAATGCATTGAAGAATTCTATATAAAAAATGTGTATTCATAAATTACTAATTAATTTTTACTCTTTTAAACTAGAGAAAAAGTAAACAAATGCATTATTTATCCCAAAAAGTAATGATTTCCCTAGACTGAATTTCTGCACTAATTCTGTCATTATGTGTCATTGCTTGCACTGTTGGATTACTAGTGCTAGAATAGAATTTTTGAATTTATTAAAAGAAAGTTTCTGATCTGATGTTTTCCATTCCTAAGCAAAGAAAAATCTTTATAAGTATTATTTTTGAGATTCGGTCCTCAGTCACCTGCCATTGTAAACATACTTGCTTATAGGCAGAATATTAATCCCTTAACAATAGCATACTTTTCAATAAATAATATTAAAGTTCCTGTTTTTTTATATAGGGAAATTATTTAAAAATAAATTTATGAACAATATATGCATCCATTTTTAATTTTTGGAATATTTTTTAGCTTAAAATCTAGAAAATATGTAAAATAAGTTTTTTTTTTTTTTTTTTTTTTTTTTTTTAAGGAAAAAAATGGACTGTTTTTAATTTTTTAGTTTGCTTCTTTTGAACTGGTTTGCTACTGGAAATATCATGGGCATAAGAAATAGAGGCATATATAATTAACACTTATTTTTATTAGTGAGAAATATATTTTTTCATATATTTAGTATGTAAATGCTATGAAATAATAAATAAAATTGAGGTGCTTACGAGAAAATTTTTCAAACATAAATTCCATCAAAAGCTAGAGATCTAAAATTTCAGGAAATCTTATTTTTATAGTTGCATTTAATTTTGAAATTTTGTAAAATGTCATTTCACATTTTTTAAATTTTATATATGATATATTAATTTTATTTCTGAATTTTGTGCTGAGCATGCTTCTGTGACATAAATGCCAAATGAATACTGAATAACTTTTACATTGTTCTTTTGATTATGCTATTGTTATTCATTATATTAAATTTTACCTTTCAAAATGTATTCACTTAAAAATTAATTATTCATTTTCAGAAATGTGGATCCTCCAATTTGGTATGATACTGATGTGAAGTTATTTGAAATCCAAAGAATATAAATATGCTTTACTTATTCAGAATGTTGTGAAAAACAGCCTAATATATTGCATGGTTGCAAATGTTATAAAGCATGTAAAAACTCAAATATAACAGCTTTTCAATATCAAGTGAAATACATTAGAAACCCACTGATCCATTCTAGTTAGCATTGATGGAAGTAACAGTTTTGAAGGGGAATAGAGAACACATAGTATGTATGTACATATACTAAGTTTTACAAAATGAAGATTTTTAACAATGCTTTTAAAAAATATAATGTATTAGTATCATATGACATGTATGCATACAAGCATATGAAGAAAAGTGAAGAAATGCTTATAAAAATGAGGGAAAATGTACTTGCAGATGAAATCCCTCTCTAGTATAAAATTTCTTTCCCTCTTTCTTTCTCTTTTTATATAAAGACTTCCTTTTTTAAAAAAAATTGTATATAATATCATTATCAGATATATTGCATCCTATGTGACTGACTATCAAAGGTTACAAGCAGTTGGGTCTCTACTGTATTTCTTTACTATAACTATTTTTGGCTGTATTTTTTCTTCCAGTAAAGCTTTACTATGCTAAACAATTATTTTTATAGGAAAAATTAATGATCGCCTACACTCACAGAAATAAAAATTCATGAAAAGTTTCCAGATTTCTTTTGTTTAAAATTTACATTCATAATTGCATTTTTTATGAATATATATTTGCATTTAGAATTTGTTTTATTATCCGTACAATTTGAGTAACATACTGAATCAATATAATATCATAATTAAATTAATGCATTTTATATGTCATTTAACTTGTAAATCTTTTGAGTATAAATCATTATAGTTTTCTGATTAGTTTTGCATTGCACATATTTTGAATATTTATGATTTAGGTACTATCTTTTGTACTTTCTTCTTGTATTCCAAAGATTTCATTCTGATTCTAGTCTTTTCTATCTTTACATTTGTTTGTTATGTTTTTATCTTTGTTAATTTGTGTTTGAAAAGTTCGTATAACTTTTTATTTTTAATATCTGCATTTCTTTTATGATGTATGAATGTTTTTGACAAATTACATTTTATTTACAATTGTCTTTTTTTTTTTTTTCTAAAATGTATTAGGTATCTGTGGTGATTTAAAGTCAAAGAATTTATCTTATTTATATGTGATTATATAGTTTTCTGCATAATATACTGCACATAAACTGGACTGTATTCTGTGCAATGATGTTTTTACTGTGTTAAATTGAGATTTTGTGCATTGTTTTAAAAGTAAAATTCTCCATATGGAGAGATTATAAATACATCTGTTTAATGAAATAAACCACAATATCAAGAATAACACTGCAGTATTCTGTGTTTTAATTTATATATATAGTTGGAAAATGAAATGGTATTTCAATATAGAAAGCCTTTTCAATAGTCAAGAGACTGAGTCATACCACTGAGATCACCATATATAAAACATTACTAAAACCTACAAGTTCATGTGGCAGTGAGATCTAGCCATTTATTAAATCTGATGAAGTTGTTAATCTTTCAAATATTTTGAATGCTTTTTATGAAAATAGTTCTGAAATAGCATGAAATGTATGATAAATGTAACAAATCTGATATTGTAAAAATCATCAAATCTTACAAGTTAGAGGGACTTGGCCATATTTTCAGATTTAAAGGCAGAAATCTCATATTTCCCAAACCCAAAAACATGAGAAAAGTAGAAAGACCTTTTAGTACTAGATGATTTGATAGCATTGAGAGAGATCTCAGAATTATTTCAATAACTAATGAATACTTATAGTATCTCATAGATCCAAATGATGAAAATTGTTCAGCACAGTTTAGGTTCATTCTAGGTTGTGCATAAGAAAATATTAAGGTAATATAAAAAATAAAATTTTTATCATGATGTTAATGATTAGCTCAAGTACTCATATGCAAAATATTCCTGATAATTAATACTAATTATATTATTGCATGAAACAGTTGGGTAATTGTAAGCCAAAATCCTTAATATACTTTTAAAATATTTATCGTAGTATTGTTCTTTTGAACCTTTGCTGGTGATATTTCCTGTTGGGAAAACATTGCAAACGTTGTAAAAATTTAGGTTATGGCATAGTATTTTCATAAAAAAACAGCATAATTAAGCTTTAATGTGGCTTTTCAAAACAAAACGTTCAAATACAAAATAAATAAATAAATAACCCTTCCCCCCATAGAAAAAAAATTTTTTTCCTCCTTGTACCATTGTTCTTTTTTTTTTTCTGCTAGAAAAATTTTATATAAACTAGGCACAAATTATAATAATTATTTAATTTTATATAGAAATGCCCTTGACTTGCATAAATTTACATTTAGGTAAATGGAAAAAAATCATAACATTCTAATTGAAACCAATTAGAAATAAGGACTCTATAAATAATGTTTTCTTTCTGAAACCTATAATTTTTACATTCAAATAGGTTAGTTTAGTAACATTTGTATTAGCATCCCTTAAAATAGAATTGAAATGCAAAACCGAATGGACTGGTTATGAATCTAAAACCAAAGGTCTGCAATTGCTGGTCAGAAAAGCTGAAAATAACTCGTACTTATATAGACAAGTTTGGATCAATAGATTTGGATGTAAATCAGCCTTTTTCTATTGTGAATGTGACAGTCAAAAGATAGTTCACATTGTTAAGAGCATTAAAAGTGCAGTAAATGTTGAAGTGCTTAAACATTACAAACACAAGAAGGTGAGTCCGATTTGATTTTCCTTAGTAGTAAATATTGCTTCGTATTTCAGGGATTGTATTGCTCGGGACGTGCAGTCTTGGGAAAGGAAGAAATGTTACAAATTTGTTACATATATAGTCAAAAGTCTTTAATCCGGACTCGTCGGGACTTTGGCAATTCTGGATTATAGATCATCAGTTTAAATCTGGTAAGATGGCATGCAGAAATTATATAATTAAAAATATGAAACAATAATTTATGAAATAAAGAACAGTTATGATCTAAAGGATATCAAAATTTACAACAACAACAAAAAAAAAGAGGTTAATATTTATTTGTTTACTTTATTAAACATTTCTTTCAACACGTGCATGCCTAAAGCATACATTATGCATAGTCGAAATTAGAAAATTGCAACGAGAAAACTATTTGATGTGTATTCGTGATATTTATAATGAATTTGATTTAAATCATATCAAAGACAGAGTACATCGAGGTGAAATACTACATTTAGTAATGAATTATAAGCCAAATAAAATAAATACATCTGCCCTGAAGATAAGGATAGTGCTGACAGATCAACTTCCAGTTCATTGCGCGCCGCGATGTTCCCCTCCCCTGCAGAGCAGCGTGAAATTGATAAACAGATTTCGGAATGGTTAGAGAAACAAAGGATATGCCTTTATCCATTTTTTTGCAGCAATTCTACTTTTTGTTTGATGGACATCGAAACATGCTTTCACTTTGTAGATCCTTTGGTAACTCCAGCATCGGCAACTCTATTTGACATAATCGAAAGTTCAAGCTTACTTTTATCAAATTGCTCTAATAGTCTGCAAAAAATAATAAGCCGGATCCAATTCGAAGATTAAGGAACAATGCAATCTGCAACATTAACTGAAATAGATAATTAGATAATTTTAGCTTAGCTTATACCATCCGTTAAACATTAAAAGCACATGCGTTAAAGTATTACGTGCATTTGTAACCGCATTATACGTTTACGCATGTGCAGAAAGTTTGTAGCTTTGAAGTCCGGATTAATGACTTTTGACTGTATAAATAATTTAGTGAAATTATAGTATTTTTTATATAATGTAACATGAAATGCTTGAAAGAGACGAAGCTCTGACAGAAAAGTAAGATTACCGGAGCGAGTCTAGTTAACATTGAGGTAAATGCCTATCTTGCTTAATTGGCTAATGTTTCCAAGTTAACAATGGTTTTAGCAATTTGTATCACCAAATTTACCTAGACATCGCAAAAGTTGCCAAACCTGGCGACATTTTTGTCTGGCCCCTGTATAACTAAATGGTATTGTAATTGGATGACTGCAATTGATCCCTATATGTAATTGTAACCGTATCTGGCCCTCATTTGCTTTTCAGTAATTTTAAGAAGTGGAAGGTACTAGAGATTTCTAAGCAGTCAGGGGAAAACTGTAAAAGATCAGGAAAACCATCAGTTTCTCAGCTGTTAGTTCAGAGCTGACTTCAAACTATTGAGATATTGCTCAGACCTTCACCTCTTAGATGTGCATTGCATTGCGTTGTGATTAACATTGTTAGTAGTTTGAAGTGTAACTACTAATTGCACTTTTTGTGATACTGAGAAGAGCTGTATGAGTGCTTTTGTGGTAAGTTCCAGAATTGTAAAGTGTTTCTTTTGGGAGAGTAAATTTTAGTAAGCTATCATAGATTCTTTTTGCATTGTGAACCGATATGCGCACAACAGTATGGTGATTAGCAATACAAGCTATTCCCAGTTTCCAATCCTATTGAAAGCATGTATATTCATAAACATATAGTGTCTTCACAGCATGGGGGTGCTGATACTGACATTGAGCTAAAAATCTCCTTGAAAACTTAGCAGTGGGGAAAGAAGGGTAGGTACCCTTGGATCTATTCCTCGGAGAGTTCTTCATCGAAAATGGACAAGCTTGTGTTTTTATAAAATGCTTTCTCAACTAGCGAGGAACTTCATAGTTTAGGAAAGGAGAATGTGGTCAGCCTTATGTTTACCTATTAAGTATTTAGTTTTAGTTTAGTAATATAAAAAACTACTACTACTTTAATTTATGAACCATGTTAAAATAATCTAAATTTAAATAAATGTATGTGTATTTTTCAAGTTTTGGAAAGGAGGGGGTAAAGGCAAAAGATTAGCTCGTATGATGAAGAGAAACCAGAGTATCAAATGATTATCTAGCATTGGTGAAAGGGGTGCATGGAGCAAAAATGGTTGAGAACCACTGGTCTAGCTTTGGCCAATGATAGGTACTATCGTTTTCCTCTTGATCATGATAAAATTTGTATACCTTAATTAGGGTTAGATTATTATATTAGTAACGATAACATAATTTCAAAATGAATACTGTTAACACTAAGTAGCATGCTTGTAAACTTGGGCTAGATTTCTTTTCTGCTGAAACTTTTACGTTGATTAAATTATGCATTCTCCTTTGGAGAATAGATATCATGATGATTTCATAGCAAAGAATTCAACTATGGAGTATCAATGATTTAGATGGCTATTCTATAAAACATTCTCAACAACATATTTGGCCCACCAACGGCTGAGCGGTAAAGTTGCGGAACACTGGTAATTTGGTCCAAATCCCGCGAACGGGCTGGCCGCATGGGCGTTTTTGTGGTTTTCCCCATGTGTAACGTGTATACGAGCCAGTTTCACTTAGAAAGTCCTCCACGAAGGCATCCCTCCCTTTAGGCAGATAGCCCTCGAGTCTTTGCCGTAATCACACACACACACAACAACATATTTGGAATCTCTATATTCACTGAATAATTCCTTGCTCTTGATATGAAAATGTATTATTTTACTGAAAAATCAAACATTGTGAAGTTGGTTTCAGTTGTAAATTTTTAACCAATTCAGCTACTGTTATGTTCAGTGTGAAGTTGTGATATCAGCTACTAATAAAACACTACCATTACAACCAACTCGGCTCTATTTGAAAACATATTTTGCCAAACATTTGGTGCTGATGATCAATTTGGTGAATGGAAAATAAACTATAATTAGAGCGAAGATATTCATAGTATAATGTTGCATTTTAGCACTTGGTGAAAACTGGTATTTATCAGTATCAACAATATTTTCTTAATGATGCAAAATTAGACTTAATTTGGATTAATATGCCTATATTGATGGCTTTGAATATGAACTGATGAGGCATGATACATGTGAAGAATGTAAAGGTATATTCCATGAGGTGCTAAAATAATCTGCATACATGCCATTATTGGTGATAATCTAATTTCAAGATTACAGCTGAGGGCACATGAGGATTGTTTCTGAAGTATATATACATTATTGAAATGACAATTTCCTGTTTGTCCTTCAAGTAATCCAAATATGTATATATACAATTAAGCCATTAATACAACTTGGCAAAAGATATTAGCAATATGTCATATGCATAATTTTTCAGTCGTAAATTTTTTCCATAGAATTTCTGTTGTAATTCATAATTTCTTTAATGTTGGTAGGTCAGTTAAGATTACTGGCACTTATTCTGTCAGAGACTCATTTATTTATTCATTTGCCAAAGATATTCTTTCATCGTATTTTAATTTATGGTTTCTAATAGTTTTCAGGAAA